AAGGACATTGCGATAAGGATTGGGGTCAGGGAGAGTAAAAAATTCTACTCGGTCAGGCAATCGACTTCAACTTCAAGGCCTTCGACTTTCTTCGGTCAGAGGCCGGATGTTGAGCCTGAAACTTTTCAAGAATTGTCCAGGAAGGAGCGCGGCAGACAACCATTTGGGATTTTGTTTCCGATGAATAGAGAAAAATAATACGAGTAAGCAACGCTCTCTGCGTTGTGAAATGAGGCAAATTCCCTAGAACGAATTTTCCTTATAACGAAATTTTTTAAACCCGTCCTTTGAGTTCGTTATATGGAGCGTCAACAGTATTCTAATTTCTGTAAATAATTAAGCTGGTTTTTTATGCAAAAAAAAACAAACAAAATATATTGCCATGAACTTCCCTATGAAAGAGCATTATACTATTTCATGTAACTTCATGCTGCAAACTGAAAAAGAGTGAATTAAAATTTCGTCTGTTGAGTTCCTCTGCCACGAGAGCAATAAAATCATGGTTAGAAAATAAAATATGCTGATGTACTCAAGTCTTCTGCCTTTTGACCTTTCAAATGCAAGCATGAAAAAAAGGGCTGAAATAGCCGTAATACCACTTCATCCCCGAAATTCTTGAATATATAGCACGTTTCCTTCCCTTTTCTAATTCGGTATTTCATGAACTCGAAATCTATGGAATAAAATGGAAACTTGAAAATGATTTGCCGCCGTTTCTGTCTTTTCTCTTATTTCTAGATAAATGTGCCCGTGAGTCCAAAGCTGAAGGTTTTCATGTGGTTTGACCACGACCGAATTTTTGCGATGCACGTTGCATAATGTTTCACGGGCTCGAATAATGCTTCAACGGTAACCGTGACTACCATATTCATTGACGCTTCGAAAATATTTTACTTTGATTGCCATGTCGATGTCGCTGAGGCGAATTTCTGAGAATTTCCCAGCAAATACTATTTACTATTTGAATAAATATTATTACAACTTTCGCTTCTGACACTTCTAACGTTGTTCCAGCGTTGCAGCGAACGTTGGCGTAACATTAAAATGTTCATTTTGGAAGCGTTCAAAGCAACGTTGACACAACAACGTTGGATAACGGTATTTCAACGTTCTTTAGAAGATCGAATTCACCGTGCACAAGTGGCATCGGAAAGACCTTGGGAATAATCCTGTTCCGGAGTAGCTTCAATGTGATGGAAATTCCATCACACTCGAATCCATCTGCTGCGGATTTGGAACTTGTCTCGCACTTGGTTCTAATCAGTACCTCTATATACGATGTTTTGAGCTATTTCGGGGGGTTCTCATGGAGAAGCTGAACCATCTTTCGAACCAAAGTTTCCAAGAGACTCCTTGGACTGGATTACCTCTTTAGACCAATTTTTGAAGAATTCAACTGTCTGCTCCACTGTGTCCGTAGGTAACGGTCAGGTACCGTATGGAAAGTTTTTGGGGCAAATTGCAGCTGTACCTGGTATTCACTTACTATTGAAGCTATTTAAGCGAAACCTCGCGAAGGTTGTGAGAACCTTTCTTTGTTTGGGCCACCGCCAGATTGCAGGCCCACTGTCCCGATCGAGTGTTGCACGTAGAACGTCGTCGTAGAATTACTTCAACGCTCTTGAGCCGACGTTGCTTTGAACGCTCCCAAAAGTGACATTTCAACGTTGTGAACTTTCATTCTGTGTTACGGAAAAACACTCGAACAATGAAATACTCAAATATCACATTTCCAACGTTTCACTGACACTGCCGTGTTAGCTGGGAGGTCGGAGAAAAATTCACCTGGGAAATTCGTAAAATATTGGTTTTTGCATGGAGTCGCCCGATTCCCTTCAAATTGTGAAATTGAAATTTCGTGGGAATGAGAAGCGACGTTGTCTATTCCGTCGACAAAAAACTGGTGCGGCACACGAGTGACTGCGGTCGCTGACTCCCGTGATCGATCATCTAATCAGGACTTTCCTGATCAAGAGGGATGGAATGAATTGCTTCTTCCTCTTCGTTTCCTTAATATCTTCTTTGATAACATGAAGTCACGAAGGTAACGGCAATAAGGCAAGAAATATAGCCATGCATGTGCGACTATACCTTTCACCAGACTTTCCTCATGATTTTTTTTGGGAAGCCTTCCAGTTTCCCCGGCCACTCAGCATCTGAGTTTGTCCGTGAATTTTATTGCCGTCCAAAGGTTTCTGTAGAGTGAGACTCCGATTAGAGGAGAATGCTTTCCTAACCTCGTTTGTTTTCAAGCGGTCCATGACTTCACTTCCGGTTTCGCGCTCTCTGTCGTGATTATTGCCAAGGGGGGAATTGGGCTTTTCTGGTGGTCTTCTCACATTTTCACTTCGTTAACTCACAAGATGAAGCTGAAACCATCAAGTTGTGCTTGAATATTTTTATTCTGTTGTTTTCTAATTTTGTTTATATTGTTTTCTTCACCTGACTCTTCATTTGGAATATCGCTTTCTGTTGTTTAGAGAGCTAACATCGATCGGAACACGCTGAACCCTGAGTGGAATCCTTTCATCTGGTAGTTATGGAAGTGGTGACACATTTCCTTTCATAGACAAACTTCCCAGTGTTAAAAAAGAATGACCCAAAAAATACTACCACTTTATTGGAAAAATATCGTTATGGTAGTTCCAAATTCAAATTCAATTGCTATTTCATTGTCTTTATGGTTACGTTTTCGTTATATGTACGTATATTTAAAACTTTGTATTAAAGTACGATCTGACATTCCGAACTTGCATTGCTTATCCCAGTTAGTGGTAGCATTTTTTTGGACCACACTGTACATTGGCATTAAGTCTACATGTGGTTTCCACATGGGTCTTCTTACTTCATTTCTTATTCTCATCTCTCATTTCTAACAAATTTTCCTTTCCGACAGGTATCCTCATAAGATCCTCGATAAATTTTAACTGGAAAATAAATATGAGTTTAAAATAATAGACATAGAACTGTACCAAGGCTTGCTCCATACGTGTTCATAACCAAATGCAACGCTTGCAGGTGTACAGACACACGCCTGGCGACATTCCAGGACGATCCAGAATTTATCCTTATTTGAGTGAGGCACAGGACGTCGTACTCTTCATCAAGTAAAAAGATGTACTTCCCTCGTTTTCACTTCTTATAACTCCAAAATGGCTACATACGGAAAATTTCGACTAATGACGACTGCCTAACATCCACATGCGGGCCATACCTGATTGTGCACACGTCATGCTGAAATGCATCGATAGAAGAACCAAATATTGCTTATCTCTGCGCTGCGATACTGATATACCATGGAAGCTCTCCTACATGAAAGGTGATTCAGTAGAAATCCGTTACGTCTCGAGCCTGTGTGTGGGCGTATTGTGTGAAACATTGCTTCTAGGTTCAAGCAGTGGAATATGGTGTCTGGTGATTTTTTTGCTTCATGAGGGATGGGCGCGGGGGGGGGGGGGGGGGGGGGGGGCAGAAAGGAGACTGCTGAGGAGGGGATGCCTCACCCCTGTCACCTGTTAATTAAGTCACAGGATTTCGAAAGCGTGTTTTGATGCACATAATCCTCACGAGTTAAATTTCCCAGACGGTTATTGTACAGTCCCTTGCTTCCTCCCAAGGGTCTTCTTTGACTCTACTCATCCAAAAATGCTAAAATTGCTAAGGACATTTTTAATGGATGTCGTTTTCCTTTTAGTTTTTTTCAATTTTTTATTTAATACAGTAAATACAGTATTCATATACAGTATATTTGATATAGTATATTCATATATACAGTATGTATATTTAGTATTAATAAATACCAGGGGGATTCAAATATGACCTGGACTTTTGCTAAGGAAAGGCAGAGTAATGCATGTAAAATAATTATTTTGGGGAGAATTTATATTCATAGTGTTGTTAATCCATACCCACAATTTGTTTGGTGCTTTTAATACATGTGCTGAAAATCAAGATGGCGGCAATTGCGGGTCTGATAGCAACGAAATGGATCAATCGTTAGCTAACCTTTATTATCTGGACTTCCTCTTTTCCGATTATGCTTGAATTCGGTTTCAGATCTCGCTGGCGGAACGATGGCGAAAACCTCGCATCCCCATCTTTCAGAAGTACTGGAAAGAAGCCAGCAGTTCGAGGAGCGCATTCCCTTCCCGTTGAAAACCAATCGCATCGAGGAATTACTTAAGACTCGGGACATTTCGGAAGACGAAGCGGAACGCTTTGTGACGGGTACCAGACCCATCGTGCATCATGAGCTGATGCCCCTACTGGACGAGTTCCTCGCCATAAAAGGAGAACTCGGATCAAACGTGGAGCAACTTCTCTATCGAGATATGAGCAGAGACGAGTTGCTCACGCGACTTTTTCACCGGCGCCCCCTTACGTTTTATTCTCCCGACGACGACGTCTGGAAGCTCCGCGATGGGACGTTTGGTCGAGGGGGGTTTGTCTCGGTAGGGACGGAAAAGGAGAGTCCACCGCTCGTTCTCAAAGACTATCTGTCGTACGACGAGATGAAGCTGTCTGCGTTGGTGGGTCTATCCTCCGAGACCGCCTTCATCAACGATGGCGAGTGGTTTAACGAGGGGCGAAAGGGGCAGCAAGGGAGCTTCGAAGAGAGGGGTGTCATCGTGGGACTGGTAGGAAGTCAACTCCAGGTTCCTGGACTCATGGAGTGCCAGGATCTCGTTGTCGACCCCCAGCAGAACATTCCCAAGAATGGGTATGGCGCAGAATCTGACGCTTTGTGGGTAGGAGCGAATCGGCAAAGCGTAGCGCTAAGGCGCATGTGGGCTAAATTCTACGGCGTCACAGACTCAAATGGTGATTTTTGTTTCCCCACTTTCACTGAAGCGTCCTCAGGCTCACTCAAAAGCTTCCTCAGGGTCGAGCATGACACGATGCTCAATGTATCTGCTTATAAGAAACGCGTGCGGATTACAGCCGAAACCCTACTTCTGGAAGCTGACACTCGAGCAGAAAGTGCTTGACGTCGAGCATACATGCACGTGGTCGGATTGGGTCTCGGCTCCTGGCTTCTGAGTCCTGCTCAAGTACAACTATATCTCGATTCTTTCGGAGAGGTTTTGCAGGAACTCCCATTAGCTCACGTGGCGGACGTGCACTTCAGTTGGATTCCGGGCAATGACGTGGCTGGAATCCGTAGCGGAGAATACACGCGATACGGAGTGAAGGTGCACCTCTCGAAACGCAACGCTCAGGAGAAACTCAAGGGCGAGAACGACGGAAAACTCCTAGTCGTCTCGTACGCCTGGAACGGTAACGCCTTCCCAGGGAACGATTACTGGATGGGAGTTCTGAGTGGCACTGGGGATCCTGCCGCTGCCTACAGTTCGCTCATTCCTCAGCTGCATAATCCACTCGTGAACCAGTTTGTGGACGGGAAGCACGCGGTTGTTCTTTCCCCCTCCCCCGAGTCACACGAACCCGACTTCATTCGTATTCGGTGCATTTCCCTTCCTTCTTCTTGCCACTTAACACGTGTCTGATGCCTTCGTCATTTGCATTCCTAACATTCCCTTGGGTAAGCAAAAGATCATTGTAAATTCTGTTTCGGTCCTGGAAGCTTCCTCTCCTCTATGCGTATGATCTCCTCAGAGCTGACTTTTATGTGCAAAAAAACAAAGAAATCTTTAACCCATTCACGCCCAGCGACTGCAGAACACTATGGGTTTAAAAACGTAATATTACGGTTCCCGGCGTCAATGGGTTAAAATACACTTTAAAATGGAACGTTCTTATATTTCATATAACTTAAGGTCCCCAATCTGAAAACATGCTTTAACATAATTACCTTTCCATCGTTGCATGCTCATGCCATGAGGGCAGGAAAATGACGTATGAAGAAAAACGAGGCACGCTTAACCTTTAAAGTCTGCTGCCTGGAGACAACTCACATACTGGGACGTGAATGGTACAGACCGCAGCAAATCCGCTTGATAGAACTTCACAATGGAATAATTATCACTGTCTCTTCCCGCTTTTAATTGGGGGTATTTAGCCCTGGAATAATGCAGACGCATTATTCGGTTAATTTGCATCTGTTTCTGCATTTCGTCCAGTTTTCCAATAAATGCACTTGTGGGTAGAACGCTCTGATGTTCGTGGGTTTTCAACGCAAACGATTTGTCGATATCGCTGCTAACAAGGTGGAATATAAACCTGAAGGAAAAATCACTCGTGATACCTGTTAGTGCTTGGTCTTCGCCCGGAATGTCCCGATTCCCTGCATAATTGTGAGTCCTGAAACGAATGCGCATCTCGCGCGAATCTCAAGCGACCGATCCGCCGACAACAGATGGGCTCATTCGGCACAGCGTCTGTGCTGTAACACCCGTGATCGATCACCATCCTCTAATCAGGGCTCAATTGCCCAAGGGGCATGAATTCATCCCTATTATCTTCATCGATAATGATGATGACAGCAACACAGCAGGAAAAATGAGCGACGATCAAGGCCCTTCCCAGAACTTTCCCTCACCTTTATCGTGAACCCTTCCGCGTCGGCGTCAGAGTTGTGACGTGGAATGACGTAAGAGGGCTTGTATAAACTTAATTTCGAACCTCCAAATAAGCAAGTGTGATTTTGACCCTCGTTATTTCCTCCTGGTAATCACGATTTCCCTTCCTCGGTCGTGATTGCTACCAATCACGAGGCGAGCGGGAATCGCGCTACAACGAGGTCGAGATGAGCTTCTGTCGTGCTCTTCTCACATTTTCACTCCGATATCTCGCTGTACCACACGATGAGTTGGGCTGAGCTATTTTTATTCTGCTCATTTTCGTAGCCTGCATCCTAATTTCGAATGTCATTTTATGCTCTATATAGAATATAATTCGATCTGAACAAACAATCGTGCCTGGAAGGCACTTCGCTGATAATTACTCAACCGCTCTTTCGCATTTTTTAACGTCACACGAAAAAAGACTGGGAGAACCCCCTGCGGGCGGAATCCACCTGGGTCGCCAAGCTGCACTTCGAGCCAGAATGACCTAAAGGGACGGAATTTACTTCACCCTCGTGGGTGTTTCTCATCTCCATCTCGTTCCATTACGATCCGTTGAAACCTTTACTGCCATTAGTTTCTCGTGCAGTGCTGGGGACCTTCTGTGACGTCATTTGAAATACCTTGTCACCTTACAAAGACTCAAACGAGAACACGGGACGTTCCTACTTCCTGCAAATCGAACGCCTGCTTCTCGCCTTTGTAATTAAAACCACAGAAACGGCGAGAATCGCGATGTACCTGGAGGATGCCACATGGAATCGCGCGGGGTCCACAGTCGCAGTTTCGTGTGCCAAGAGACGACACATGATAGAGTGCCTGCTTTTCTCAGATACACTAACGATTTCCGTCTTTTTTGGCACTCCAAGCATCTCCATTCCAGGGTTAGCGAATTTCAAGATAGTCTGGCTCATTCTCTCCGTGAGCGACCAGTGATTGCGATTCGATCGGGTGCACGCGAGCATGACCAGCGATTTTCGATGCCTAAATTTTCGACTCCTATAGAAAGCAGGAAGTTTCACTCTCCTGAACTCGTATTTATTCCACACTGTTTTTCTTCGCCTCGACCGAGCCCGACGCCTTCTTGAACGGATTCCAGCACTTTTGCGGAGGAGGAGGAGCCAAAACGAGGTTGTCTGCGTCATCCAAGTGTCCAAAAGAAAAAAAAAATTCGAAAACAATTTTAAAGGTGGAAATTAGGATGGAAAGTAGTTGGCTCGTCGATTTTCGACGTTGCATGAAGTGAGGATGATCGACGACAGATCCTTTTTTGACGACAGCTCTTTTTTTGACGACATCCCTTTTGTTTACTCGGGGCAGAGTGCCAGTTGTTTTTGTCTCTTCCACTCGAGAGGGAAATGTCACCTGGCTCTTTGGCTCCAGTCTTCTCGAGGATCTTCAACTTCCACGCGGATCTCCAGCAAACTCTCCGACTCGTCCACACCATCGAGGTGAGATCCCGGCGCGATTCGGGACGCCGATTTAGGACGCAGGTTTAGGACGCAGATTTAGTTCTCGGCCTCACTCTCGGATTTTTCCCCCCCGATCAGGCCGGAGAAGATGACTTGGAGGCCGTCGGACGACCACGATTACTACCAGGCCTGGCCCGACGAGGTAAACTCAACGTGTCTCGGTAAACCCCGTAACGAGCCTCATCCTCCTCCCATCCGATCCGATCGCCTTATTGACGCCGCCGGAGATATAACAAGAGTGTCAGGAATCGATTCACCCCCGGTCCCTCTCCCCTTAAGCCGTCATCGATCGAAGTCGAACGGAAATCCCATTCATTCGCTTGTCGTTCGCCCGAATGTTCCGGAAATTCCGTGCACGACCCTGCAAAACCTCGCGAAAGACAACTTTCAATTTAAAGAAAGGGGGGGGGGGGAGAGAAGGGTAAAAGGGGGGAGAGAGGGGAAACGAGAAAAAAAGAAGGAATGGCCAAACCAGGACGAAGAAATCCCCCCGCCATCGAAAGGGAAAACCGGGAATAAAAAGAGACATGCGCGAGCAGAGATGCAGCTTCCCGTCTCCCCCACCCCCCTTTCCCCCCTTCCCCCCCCCCTCAATGTGGATGCGGAAGAGACAGATGTGCAACAAGTCGGGGATCCTCTCGTGATTCCACACCCGCGCACCCGGGGTATTCATGGAGGTGAGCTCGTCCGGGTCCCATGGATTACCCGTCCCCGTCCCAGGTTGACCTGAAACCCGAAGGCGAGATGGAAGCCCTGCTCCTCGGTCGAACCAAGGTAAAATCGACTAAAATTCCATCCTCGCTCTCCTTTCAATTTCCTGCGATGCCCTCGCTCGTCCTTGCGACGAGCTTCCTCGCTACGAATTTCCTTGCTACGAATTCTCGCGACGGGAATCCACGGTGTTTGTTTGTACAGCCGAGCCGTGCATCGCCGTTCCACCGAGCCTTCTTGTAGTTTCTTCGCGGCCGAGCGGAGCCAACGGCCATTGGGATCCATAAATGCCAGGGTACTGCACGGTTCGTAAAAAGGACCGGAAACAGAGAGCCCGAAACGACGAGGAGCCGCATCGGCCCGAAAGTCCGACGGTCCTCGTCGGTCCTCGTCCTTCCTTCCTACGAGAAGGAGCGGAGCAATCGAGCAGGGAACAAAAGAAACGAGGAGCGAATGAAGGAAAGGCACGCGCCGTGACCAAGTGGGAAAGAAAAGGGATGTCGGCCCGACATCCCTCATCGACATGAATGAACGAAGGGATGAAGGAGGCTGGCCCCTGAGCGTAGAGGGATGAGGATCGATCCTCCCTACCTGCCTTACGCTCCATACCTGGCTTACATCTCTCCCATTCTCCCTTCTATCATAAGCAGCTCGCTCTCGTTTAATTCTCCCAGCATTGCCATCACTGACGCCGCCTGCTGGCTCTCGCGAAACCTAGCTGTTTTTGATCCCGCAGGGAAAAGGACGGTCGCGATCTGGCTTCATATTTAATGTTTCGCTCAAAATTTCACTCAATGTTTTTTTTTCCGCACGGTCATGATCTATGCAAAATCCCGGGAGGAAGTACGTTCGCTCATCGATCGATGGGCGTCGTACCCAACTTCGTGCTTCGATGGCCGACCGACCGAAGGTGTCGATCCTGCGATTTGCGACCGAATGCGAGGGAAGTTTTAAGGCGAGGCCGTTCGCAATAACGACATAGGGGAAGTCCCCGTTCCCGTGGGAATGCATTTCTTTCCCTTTCATGCTTCTCTCCCGAGAGTGCTTCAAAGTGATTCACCGTGCTTCACCTTGCTTCAACGCGATTCTTAATTGTCTCTGCCGGCTTTTGTCCCGGGGAACGCGAGAGTGTAAACACGGGCATAACGAAGGCGGTGAAAGAGGGTTTTACGTCATTAACGAGGGCTCAAAAGATTTTCCTCGTCTGAGTTTTCTTTTCTGGTGGATTCGAAATGGAGGGGAAGAGAAACACGGGGCGAGGTCGGATCCATTATCGGAGCCGATGAATTGGCCGATATGGGCCTCTCGTGCCGGGATATCAGGTCAATATGGTGCATTATTCACAGCCCTACTAAAGATGGAACGATCCGCGTCACGAGGGGTCGCTCCTCGCTTACGGGGCCGAATTCTCACTATATCCACGTTGCAATCACGAGAGACCCGATGAGATTGGTTCCGATATCGCGCGAAATGCGCCGATTTTCACCAATTTCCTTCCCTCGATGAGAAGAGTTCCTCATCCGGGAACTTCAGAAGCGAAAGTTTCTCGCGTTCCGTGCCGATGGGTTACGATTCGATTACTCCCGGATTCGGGACGAGAACATTAACGACGGTAACAGAAAACAAGGGCACCCCGCCCGGGCGTGGGAGCATCCGGCGATGACGAAGTCATCCCATCGTTCTCGTGATTCCATTAAAACACGGGAACCCCATCCGACCGCGGAGACCCCACCCAAACGACTCCTTCCCTTCTCGCCCCATTTGCATTAATGAAAAGCGAGCGGGAAACGAGCCGTCGCGTGCAGGAAGACGTCGGAACGCTGGATGTAGCAGGTACGGAAGGATGAATAAATGATTAAAACAGGGGGACGGACGGCACAAATACCTCCCCGTACATGCGCCTTGGAGGCTACCTCCGCTCCGACCTCCACCTCCACCGCCACATCGGCATCGGCATCCGCCCGAACGCGATGCGACGCGGGGATGGCGGCCGCGACGAGCCGAGTGACGAACGTGGCGTTTCGCTTGGGGGACACCGACGAGGAGGAGCGTCTTCTCAAGTTCCTCAGGGTAGGTCCCGACCGGTCACGACCGGTCCCGGCCGTTTGCTCGTTCCCACCCCCTATCGCCGCGTCTGTGGTCCCCACGGGGCCGTTCGCCCATCGTACCCCTCCTTCCGGGCGATCGATAGCAATTCGAGGAAGTTTCCCGAGGAAATGGAAAACGTAGAGACGGAGGAAGAAAAGCGGAGACGGGCGATTAATCCCAGACCACTTCGAGAAAAAAACGAGACGATTCCGTCTCCGACTCTTTCGCCCACTCGAACGCGCGGCTGCCGACGATCACGACTCTCGGCGGAATGCGAGCGGTGTGCCCGCACGGAGCGAATTATTGCAAAAATGCGATTAACAATTTACGAAATCATCGCAATTACTTAAAACATCGAATTTTCTCCTATCGTATTTATATGTCTGATCTACCATACTCGTGAAATCTTTGTATTTTGTTATTTTGCAACTGCATCGCATGGCTTTAAACTCGTTTCCTACATTTCCTAGCGTTCTCACTCCCACACATACACGTGAATCACTCCGAAAGCTTTTAGACTTTGCTCCAGCAAATGGAGATAAAAATCAAAAGGCAACTCATTTGTTAGACGTACTTCTTGTTCGTGCGAGTTTTCTCTGTTTCCGTCGACATTCAGCGACACCGAAGCGCAAGGAGTGGAAGCAATTAGTGACGCCTGGCGAGGAAGGATGTTGCCTTTCTCTCAACTTCTGTGCCTCCTTCCAGAACTGCGCGAGAATCCCCTCACCCGGGAATTGCCTAAATGGAATGTCCAGGGATTTTTTGTTGTTGTTGAGAAAGGTGTCGAACTGGAACCACCTCTTCCATCGAAAGGTGATTTCGACTACGAACCCGGATCTTAGCGCCCTCTGACAGCAGTGATAAAATGCCGAAATCGTGCACGTGCCGATGGGGATATTCAATGGGGTTCATCTTTCATGAGTAACTGTTTTTCATTTTTCATCACGGCGACTGGAACGATTCGATTTTCTTAACTATCGAGTCGGCGCCGTCAGTGGGGACTCGGTTGCATCGAGTTCAGACTTCTCGGCAATTATCAGCCGAGAGGGCTCGGACGAGTTTCCCTTCGTTTCTCGGAGGAAAGCCCAAAGACTCTTTTGGAGTGACCGACGTATGATCCCCGATGAGAAAAATAATATGTCGCACTTCATGGCCTAAACGTTATATTTTACTTAAAAGTATTGACATACATCAATGCATTAACATTTGTATATTAATTTTATTCCAATTAATTAACATTCTGAATTTAAATATATCGAGCCTAGAAATAACATTCGTTTTTATACATTTTGCTGCTGGGGAAACTTGTGGGGGGGGGGGGGGGGGGGGGGGGGGGGGGGGGGGGTCGTCGCATCGCGTTCGGGCGGATGCCGATGCCGATGTGGCGGTGGAGGTGGAGGTCGGAGCGGATGGGGGTGCTAAATTGATATCTCGCACGGGGCGCCAAAAAAAGTTCTCGCTTCACTCGCAAGGAAACGACGAAACAGAACGGCGTGCAACCCCGTGAAATCGCGTCAATACGCGGAGGCCTTTGCCTTGCGATTAGTTTCTCAAAGCTCAACTAGATGACTCCAGGAGCGCCAATCATTTTTTCAGCCCAAAGAGACGCCGGATTCGGCGAAGTGCTTACGTTAGAAAGATGCATTCCAGACGGTGACGAAAGAGCTCGCGATGAGTGGCATGACGCATCCTCACGCGTTCCGTTTGGCGAGCCTGGCGGCCCCCAGGGGACTCCCGCATGACATAGGCTAAACGGCCTCGGAGCCGCATGGCCTAGGCGCACAGGTAAGCATGATGCCGTTTGGCATTGACATTTCGGATTCGTTTTACCTTTGTCGAGTCTCTCCTCGTCGCCGGAGGCAAGGTCGATCTGGAGTCCGTCGCGAGGCTCCAAGGAGTGACGGTGCCCGTCCGTGCCCGAGGCGTCGCTCGTCCGGCGGCCATCTTGGAATCCAGCGGGAAGTGACGTCACGAGCCCGGTCGCTTGACCTCACGTTTCTCTCGCTCGGCGGAACGATGCCGTGTCGACTTATACTCGAGCCGTTGGGCCACCGGTCTCCAGTCGTTTTCGACCTTTCGGCTTCGTTTAAAAATCGCGCTACAAAATCTGAACGTCCGCGTCGACGGTTCGGGCGGGATACAACACTGAATGCAACACTGAATGCAACACTGTGTGCAACACTGTATCCCTCTCATCGTCATTCCTCGGCCCGTGTGCAGTCGCTGGTAGAGATTTGTCTTGCTCCTTGAAATTTCCTATTCTGTGAGTTCTGGATGAAACACCCCGAGCGCAACGCCGAACGTGAGTAAATTCCGCAAAGGTTGCTAATTCGTTCGTTGTAAGAAGAAGTGTGCGTCGTGGTTTGGCGTTGGAAGAATTGCTTCGAGGAGTATCATCAGGTGTGAGGGGTCGAATATCGTTGTTGGCACGAAGCAGAGAGAGAGAGAGGAAAAAAAAAAACAGGTCGTGGGTTCTCGCTTTCGTTATCGTTCGTTTTCGGTTTTTCGGAGCAAAAAATCCGAGACGGGCAGGGATCGGCGAATTCGAAATTGGCGGTCGTCTTCGCCTCGGTGGGAATCTGGGAAAAGACAGGGAGTTTTTCCTTCGAATGCTCGGTCTCGAATTCGATCCGTCGCGTGGATTCGGTCAGAGATTCGGTCGGAGATTCGGTTCTGGTGAATCCCAGATTCGAGAGCGAGTTTAATCATCAGTTTCGTTCGAGGAATGAAAATGTGCTTTGGAGATCGGAATCGCGACTTCGCATTAGGTAAATTAAAAGGAAATCCGAGGCAGAGCTAATGTGCTCCCGAGAACAGGCTCGTTCTCGTATGGAGCCGGCTCATCCTCTCTCGAAGCCGCCTCGTTCTCCTTTGAAGCCGGCTCATCCCTTCTCGAAGCCGGCTCGTTCGCCTTTGAAGCCGGCTCATCCCTGCATTGCGAGCGAGGGGAAGACGGCTTCGACGAGTTCGTGTCGCAGATTAGACAAATCAAGTGGAGAAAGAGGGTAATGGGGGAAGGGGGGGGGGGAGGGAAGGAGAGGAGGAAGACGAAATCCCGGCCTGACATAAAAGGTTTTCGCGTGCAAATGAGGTAAGAAGAAAAAAAGCGAGGGGAATCGATCCGTGATAAATAATTCCTCTTGGACTTCTTCATAAGTCATAAGGAGAACCATATGGCCCTATCGATACGAGTAGGAAATGCCACACGCCGGCGACGCATCCATCGCAGAGATGCGTCGATGGCCCGAGGACGGTGGCAGCGGGACGGTCCTTCCGGGCCGGTTCCGGACGCGCGGCCGGATGCCTTCCGGAGTCACGTCCGGCCGGCCGGACGACACCGAGGCGGTCCCATTCGTCTGGCGGGGGGCCGAAGTGCCTCCAGGCGACGAGCTTTTCCGAGTAACGAGGAGAATGTGTGCTAATTCATTTTCATACTAATTGATTTTTGCTAATTATTTACTAATGTTCATACTAATTGATTTTTTCGATCGATAATTTCACATCTCTTCCGGTTTAGAAGGGAAAAAAAAGATGAAATCGTGCGTAGGAGCGTTAAAAGTGAAATACCTCACGGGTCGATACGAAACCGTGTATCGCACGCAATTCGGTTCGAGTGCACTGGACTTTCGAGGGGAAACCGGAAAAGCCGGACGAGAGAGCCTCTAAATACACTTTCTTCCTCTTTCCCCCTTATTTTATTTGCTCTCTCTCTCTCTCCCCCCGAGAGATCCGGAACGCCTCGTGATCCTCATCGAACGGAGAGGACTCGAATGGACGTCACCGAATCGATCACGTTTCCCTTCGGAACCGGCGGAATGAAAGAATTTGCATTTTCTTTTGGCGGCGCGACACGGGAAAGACCGATCGCGGATCGGCAACCCGCCAAAAATAACTCCAGAGGAAAGCCGATAAACATTTCCGGAACGAGTCCCCCCCCCCCCCCCCTCTGAACCCGGTTATTTCGCCCCCGACCGCGAAACCCGACGGAGTGCCGCTTCCATGGAAGCGGAGAGACGATTCCGGAAAGACGGGAATTCCGGAAACACGGGAATCCCGGAGGGACGGGAATCCCAGCGGATCCAGAAAATCTCTTCCCAAGAGGTAGGCGCTTACATCGATCGCAGGCCTCGAGACGATCGCCGTTCTGGGACTCCGAAGCCTCCTCGAGGCCGATCCCCGAGGCCGGTCCTCGAGGCCGGTCCTCGAGGTCGGTCCTCGAGGGAGAGATTCGAGGGTGGAAAGAGAACGAGAAGATTTGTCGGATTTGTAGGAGCTGTCGGCGTCGAGCCCGACGCGCCGGAACTGGAGGGGAATCCTCATCTCGGTCCTGGTGATCGCGGCGGTCTGCGGGGCGCTGGTGCTGACGGTGTACCTGGTGATGCCTCCGGGACCCCCGAAGGGAGGAGCGGGGCACCGATTCTCCGTCCACGACCTCCACTCGCCGAGGCTCCGGCCGAGGCCGTTCCGCGCACACCTCGCCTCCCGTGAGTCCGTCGTCTGAGGGTTCGCCGCGCGTTCCGTGGCGTTTTTTGCGCGGCGAGCCGGGTCTCTTTCGGAGCGTCTTCGACGGGAGTCGTCGGTCGAAAGCCGGGAGTCCGAAGAGACTCTTCGTTCTACGACGGCGGGTGGTTAAAGACGCGTAAAAAATATATCGGAAGCACGATTTCGACGTAATTCTTCGATGGCTGTAATTTTGCTTCTTTACACCGAAACGGAAGCCATCTCTCGACCCGAAAAGCTGAAGAATCTGGTCGAAGCCAAGAGAGCCTCGGTCCCGTCTCCAGTCGGAATCGAGTCGGAAAAGTTTTTTTAAAGAGAAGGTGTATGCTACCAAACCCTGTAACATCCCTGACCTCATTAACGCCATCTCTGCCAAACTGAATGCAATAAGTTTGGACATGTGCCAGAAAGCAGTGGATGACTTTCCCTGGTCCCCCCCCCCCTTCCCCGATCCGGTCTCATTAACAGACGCTCCATGAGGTTAATTAAGAGGATACGAGATTGAATGAGTCGATCTCGATCGTATGGACGAGACATCGCGTCTCCTTTCAGGTGGAAGGAGGGAAGAGGAAAGCCTCGGGGACGGGATACATCCTCTACCGACTGGACCAGCCGCAGACGTGAGCCGATCCATCCGTCGATCGAGCGGTCGCTCCATAAATATACGAATCCGTAAAAAAAAGATCGATTAAAAAAATTTTTGAAGCTCGAAAAAACGTCGGATCGAAGACGATTCAAACGGGTAAACGTAAACGGACTCGTTGCGGACGGAACCAGGTGGTGGAAGGTGACGAAGGAAGGCCTGAGACGCGGCGATTCGGCGGAGGGAGTGGAAGGCCTGGACGCGATCGCGTGGCTGGGACCGGGACCGGGACCGGGACCGGGACCGGGACCGGGACTGGGACTGGGATTGGTGCACGAGCGGGACGTCTACGTGTACCGGGGACTCGATTCGCGCTCCTTCCCGACCCGCGTCACCCACCGGCCGGCCCTGTGGAACGGGGTTCCCCATCCTCTCTACAGAGGTGAGATCGCTTCCACCCGTTCCGCCTTCGAGGTGCGACGTCGAGATCTTCCTTTTAGGAATCCTGGGCGAGACGGGGATGTGGGGAAGCGGAGACGGGTGGAACCTCGCCTTCGCGGAGTGGAACGATTCTCGAGTGGACGAGCTCGGCTTCCCGGATTACGACTTCGATCTGGATCGCAGCGTCCCCCCGCCCTCGGCCCTCACGCTTCCGCTGGTACGCGTCCGCTCGACGTCCGCTCGACGTCCGATCGACGGCCGATTGACGTCCTCGTTTCTCTCAGGCGGGGAGGGCGAACCCGGAGGTCTCCGTCCGCGTCGTGGCGCTCCATCCATCCGCGGCGGGTTCTTCGCCCGTTCGAGTCCGGTTTCCGCCTCCCGTCGACGGAAGGTGAGGTTCGAGGCCGGACGTCCTGCCATCGACCCGAAACACGGGGATGCGGGAAGAAGGGTCCGAAAGAGAAAGTCGAAATCCGACGAGTCTGTGGGAGAGTCGCCAAAAAAAAAAGTCTCATTAGCTCGTCGGTCGGGGTCGAGAACGGAGAAATCCCACAAGTGAATTTCCTAGAAGGAAACTCGAGAGTCTTCCCTTTTTTTTTATTCTATAGAACGGAGAGAGAGGGAGGTCGGAGAGGGAAGAGAGAGGGAGGTCGGAGGGGGGGAGGGAGAGGGAGGTCGGATGGGGGAGGGAGAGGGAGGTCGGATGGATTTCCTCCTCGAATTCATGGGAAATTGGAGGAAAATGCGAGCCCGAAATGAGACGAATTCCAGTTGTCGGAGGGATCCAGCCGGATCCGGCTGGATCCAGCTGGGATGGAATTAAAAGTGAGGCGGGATGGAACCGTTCTGCCGCCGCTGGAAGCTTTGTCGATTCGGAACTGCCACGACCCTCGATCGGAGCGGCACAAAAAAAAATTCGGATCCAATATTTTGCGTTTATGAAACTCGCTAACGACCAAAGCGCTTTCCCATTTCCCAGAGAGATTTCGTTTTAGTTCGACCTTTGTCCTCGTTCGACCCCGATCTTTGCTGCACGCGTAGCTGCGCGCGTTCGGTGTCGAACGTGCACGCGAAACGCATCTCTCGACGGTGACGACAGCAGGCAAAGGGTTAAGTCACCGTGAAAGCGAATAGTCTCTTCTGTTCCCAGAGGCATCTAGCGGCGGGTGAGCGAAGGAAATACTCCTTTCGAACGCCTTCCGATCCTCAAATTTTAACTCTGGAAGGATGTGGACAAACACGCCACATTTACGATAGCAGTATCGAAGGTTTCCCATCGAGAAAGGGAGAAGGGGGCGAGAGGGGAGAGGGGTATGGGGGAAGGGGGGGGGGGAGGGGAGGGGGTTGTAGGCCAAAATCCCACCACTTAGCGCGAGAATGTGCGAAGGAAAAATCGATGAGCCATCCCGTATGGGGAAGACCCATATGGGAACGGGATGGACGAGGCTGCCGACACGAATCACCCGCTCTGTGTTACCGATCGCTCGCCCGCCGCTTCGAATCACTCGAGCTGCTACTAATCACCCCCGCGCGTTGCTACGAATCGTCTGTGACGCTCGGGACGGCGATCGACGTCTCTCCTTTCTTTTCCTCAGGGACTGGTACCTCTGGTCCGTGTCGTGGGTGGGGAAGGGGGAGGGTGGCCAGGGTGGCCAGGGTGGCCAGGATGTCCTCTGCCTCCTCTGGGTCAATCGGATTCAGGACACCCTCATAATCACGCTCTGCGCGCCTCCTGCCTTCTCCTGCACCATCGTCCGTATTTTTTCTATTTATTTCTCATATTTCCATTCATTTAAGAAATTTCCAATTCGAATTTTTTAATACCTTTTAGAGCAAACAAATTCGAATTCAAATGACTTTAAATATTTTAAAATATTTAAATTTATTTATTTAGTGCAACATTAAACTTACTTATTTTGCGTAACATATTTATTGATTTATTTGGACATATTTAAATGCATTCGATCGAAATTCGTGTCGTTCTCTCCCGGTCGGGGAATCCTCTCAGGCGACGAAGCTGAGAGGGACGTGGGACGCGCTGCGACGCATCAGGGGCCGACAAGTCTTCGGCGGGCGCGGGGAAGACTTGCAGCTGGTGGCGCCGGTGCGGGACGGGCCGCGGTTCTGGAACCACGTCGTCGGCGTGCACGCCGCCACGGGGAAGGTGCAGCCGAGCACGTACGGGGCGTTCCACGTGCGGAGGATCCTCGCCGTGCATCCGAGACTTCCCATCACGTCGGTGTTTCGTTGATCGATCGACTCGTTAATTCGTTAATTTAATTATTCATTCGTTGCGAGCGGGTCTGCCGATGCGGTAACGGTTGAATCTTAAAGGAAGCATGAAAGATGCAGTTCCACTTTAAATTCCTTTTCTGTGCGTGTCTGGGCTCATTACTCGCTTTGGAGTAAAAGAAAAAAAATGGAAGGCGGAAAAAGACGGTTTCCTTCGAATTTCACACGCGACCATTCATCGATAATGAGGGAGTCGGAAGGACGACATGACGTTCCGGAACGCGAAAATTCACTTCCGGTAAAAGAGCAGGTGATTGTGGAACAGCATTATGTGAGGGTTAAATTTTTTTTATGTTGTGGAAGATGCATCGAAATTTGCAAACGGAAATTGGCGCGGGGATCGTGCATTAGTGCGGAATTAGCTCGGCTTCGTCGCGATCTGCCGTGTGTGTTTGCACGGGCAGCGAAGAGATAAAAAAGAATTTGCAAAAATTGCGAGGAAGAGTGTCGGAGCGGTTTTTTTTTTTTTATTCGGTTCGCCGAAGAGCGCTCATTTTAGGAGCGAGCACGGATGTTTTTCGGTGGCTCCGTGCCAATTTTATTGCGCGCAATCGCATCGTCCGGAGCGGTTTCGGTTTCACCGACGAACGCGTTTCCGAGTCCGTATTTTTCCCGTCGAGGGTGCAAGGTGCGAAATTTCGTCGCTCGACTCTTCATCGTTCCCGAGGTTTTCCCCAAACTCACGGACGAATGATTCTCGAGACGATTCTTCCCGCTTTCGCCTCTTACGCGTTTTCCTCACCGGCTCTCGGGGAACGGCCGAACGACACGAACGTTACGGCACGCTACATTTTTTCGATGCAAAATCGGTCGGATCCGAACGTCGTCGGACGAAAAAGACGAGAGCGCGTGGAATAGAGACGACCTTCGCGGATGAATTCGCCTTCGGCACGGTCCTTCGAGGCCATCGTCGCGAATACGACGGACGATTCCAAACGGAACGAGCCCCGAGACGTCTCGCGAGGAACGAGGGAAGCTCGCGCCGTCTCCCGTCTCCAGTCTCCCTCTCCCTTCTCCCGTCTCCAGTCCTCGTTCCGCGTTTCGACGAAGGGCGGACTCGTGACATGCGGGGTTTCCGTCTGGATCTCAGGTATTTCCTCGGGGACGAGGAAGGGAGCGGGAGGCAGCAACACGTGTACGCGGTGGAGTCGCCGACGGAGAGCGTCCCGCCCGGCTGGGGTTTCCGGCTGCACTGCCTCAGCTGTCCCGAGCCGGAGAACGCCACCGACCGACCCTGCACGTACCACGAGGCCACGATGGAGAGCGGCGGTCCGTGGAAGGGTGGAGGTCCGTGGAAGGGTGGAAGATTCGCGAGGGGTGGAGGACTCTCTGAGGGCGAAGAACTCGCGGACGGTGGAGGACTCTCGGAGGGTGGAGGTCTCCTGGAGGGTGAAGGCCTCCTGGAGGGTGAAGGCCTCCTGGAAGGCGAAGGCCTCGTGGTGCTGGAGTGCCAGGGGCCGGGGATCCCCTGGGTTCGGGCGTTCGCCCTCGACGAAGCGGGGCTCGCGCTGCGACCGATCCGGGACCTGGACCGGAACGCGGCCTTGACCGAGGCGCTCGGACACTACGTCGCCTCCAGGGACGTCAGGGCGTCCTTGGTCTTGAAGGGTCTCGGGGAGGCCAACGTTCTCCTTCACCTTCCGCCGGAGGTGAATCCCGACGAGGCCATCCAGTACCCGTTCATCATTCACGTGTGAGTTCGTTTTCGCTCGTCGGGGATGATAAATGATTCCTTTTTTTTTTATTCTCAGCGCTTACGATCGGTTCGTTTTCGGAGCGACCACGAACGAGATAAAAACCGCTCGTGAATCGCTCGCGATCGTCCATCCACAATTAGACCTGCAAAGTCGAAAGAAAAAGAAAAACTGCCAAGGGCCCATGCACACCGACTGCGACGAGCTACGTTGCGACCACCGCGACCGTCGCAGAACGCTTCGCGATGGAGTCGGACGATTCATTTCTGTCGCATCCTCGCAGTGCTGCGTAGCTATCGACTCGACTCGGCGGCTCTTCTGGTGGAATGACATCTACGGTGGACGATGCCGATCGTCAGGATCGACTCTACGCGAACGAGATGCATAGCTCGAGTAAATAAATCTTTAAGAAAGATCTCGATATCAATTATATTCCCGATGATTTTCCATCGTTTCGATTCGCGAATTCTAATTTAAATATTTCTAAGTCGAGAAGCTCTTGTTCTAGTGCAAAAACCCGAGTCGTTCCCTCCTTCGGGAGAGTGATGCACGATTTGTACGTATTTGAGATATTCAGAGTATTAGTATGGAGTATGCCTTCACCCAACTCGATGGCAGCGTGCCATTTGCGCGGGGAAATGCACGGTCTCGAGTTTGTCATGCCCTCTCTTCCAGCCGATCGAGAAGGGTCTTCGAGTCGAGAGACATTCTCACAGACATAGGAATGAAACACTCTGTCTTCCGTAAAAATATTAATTATTATTATTAGGGTCTCGAATTCTCCCATCTGATGACGGGATCTGTGTATAGGACGTACCTCACTACCGTACCGACAAGAAGCAGAAGTATTTCACCACGAGCTCTCAGATCGTACACGGCCATATTTGATTTCGCTTGGGAGCTCTGCGACCGGTGTGGAAGATGCTTCGCAGACGGTCGCAGCACTTCGCAGTCCAGTGGGCATCGGCCTTAGGCCTTCGCAGCTCGATCTGTCTGAAGCATCGGGGGGAGGGGGAGGATGCAAATACGGAAAAAAAACACGAAGGTCGGCACAAAACGATAAACAGAGGAGAAATGCGATCACCGGATTTTCAAAACCTATATTTCCATTCGAAACGCGGAACGCGATGGTGATTTTGTAAACACGGGATGCAGCGGCGAGGAAGAGATCCTGGACGAGGAGGAGAAGGGTGGCAGCGACAGATGGCGACTGGACTGGTCGACGTCGATGGCATCGAGACGAGGGTGGATCACGGGGCGCGTGGAGTGGGTGGAACGGTCCGTCCCGCCGGGTTACGAGGCGGGGCATCCGTTGGATCAGGTCCCTTTCCTCACGGCGGCTGCCAAGTGAGGTCTCTTCTTCGTCTCGGGGGAGGTCGGAGGGGATCCGGGGATGACGGCTTCCTGCCTTTCAGGGAGCTGGTCAGGCGGTACAAGTACATCCATCCGGAGCAGGTGGTGCTCATGGGGAAGGGCGTGGGGGGGCACCTCGCACTCATGGCCCTGGCCCAAGACGATCCCACCTTCAAGTGCGCTCTCGTCGTGGCACCCGTCACTTCCTGGCTCCTCCTCGGTTCGCGTCTCCTCGTCCTCTCGCGTCGCGTGCGAATTCCTAGCCGGTCGTAGAATCCATCTTCGTGTAGATTCCCTGACGGCGGAGGGATTGCTCGGATTCCCCAACGCGACGCGGGACTTCCTCCAGTACGTGGACGTGGACGCGACCAGACGGACGGAACATCTGCAAGACAAACTCCTCTTCCTCGTTCACGGCTCCCACGACGCACGGGTGATCGTGCAGCACAGCCTGGCACTCACCAAGGCCTTGGTCACCCGCAACGTCCTGTTCAGGCAGATGGTGAGTTCCCGGCCCGGTCTCGACGCGTCGCGGTCCGCACGAGACCGAGAGGTGAAAGGTCTCCCCTCGACAGATCTACCCCGGCGAGGGCCACGGCCTGGAGAACGTCAGGGATCACTTCTACCACCAGGGAGAGAGGTTCTTCCAGGACTGCTTCGGCGGATTCTCCCTCCCCGCACAAGACGACCGAGAGGAGGAGGAGGAGGAGGAGGGAGGAGACGAGGACGCGAACCGCGGGGAGCCACCCGATCGCCGTCGATCGGACGTAGAAACGGACTCCAATCAAAACCCACACGTCAGGTGATATTCACTCTGGTGCTGTTTTTGTTTTCTCTTCGAAATTATACGAGAGAAATGATGTTTTTTTAAAATATATAATCATATTTGAATTTATCACTTTTGACATTTTGCATCGACATCGAAGATGGGGACCACACACGAATGAGAAGCTCGACGAGGATCATGACCTTTTTTTAGTATAAAAAAGGATAAGGAACAGGAAGAAAAGTTGATATAAATTATGTCTCTTGATCGCTAAACATACGCGGATAAGACACCCGATCGTCGTGATTAAACCGAATCACTGATCATGCGACGGGGGACCCAAGCATCATTCATCCATGTGGGATCACGTGAGAGTCACAGGGCGACCGAGACGTCATCATACTTGTGCCACGAACGTCCTTCCCCTGGTGGACGATCATAAAAAATGTTTAAAAATTCGATCGGGAATTCGACAGTCGGCGGCTCGGAAAACTCACGTGATGGTCTTCCTCTCGACGTTCTTCGGCTCGGGTCTGGCCCGGTTGAGCACCTTCAGAAACGCAGCCGTCTTGGCCCTCATCCGGGAATGGATGTACGCTTTCGAGCATTTGATGTGGTAATGGAGATAATCGCGGAACATGTGGATCAGGTTGATGGTGTTGTCCCTCGTCGCCGGGTTCGTGTGCCTCGGGAACAGCACTGCACGGATCGAACGGCCGCATGAGTCAACCGTTCCCTCGACGGTCTGGGAGGAACCAGGATCGACAAAACTCACCGAAAGTGATGTATCCGATGTTGTCTCCTACTTTGGCATCTGTGTGTTGCAGTTCGAGAGGGGGTTCTCGGTGGGAAAACAGCACCTTCGGGATGGAAGTTACAAAATCCCTGAGATCGATGCCGTGACTAAGTCGGTTTCAGAGATGAGTTCAAACGAGTCTGGGGCTAATCCAATCTACATCCCCCATGTGTTGCAACAAACCAGACCGAACAAAATTCAGGAAATAGCTTTCTTAAAAAGTCTATGATAACCAATGCCCATTCAACTGCATTAATCCAATCGAATCGACTGTAATCTGCCATCAGATGAAACCTGGCGGCTGTCATACGTGCAGTTGCACTTTCCAACTTTCATCAGAGAAGTCAACAATGTATACCAATTCATAGAGGATGAAAAAAATTCCAAATTCCATTGTGAACCTTTCCTGCCTGGGTGCTCACAGGCTACCTCGGTCCACGATGGGCTGCTTTTTAGGCCATACGAGATCAGGATCTCATGGACATAGAATGCTAAGTAGGGCCTGCTAGTTGCTCTGACCCAATGCAGATACTCCTCAGAAGGCAGGTGGGTTTCCAGGCTGGCATGGAATATACAGCCATCCAGAACTTGACTCTGCACTGCCCTAACTGCTTCGTCACTAAATTCAGTCAAGATGCACAGAATCCATCACTCCAACGGTCGGAAAGTCCGTCGCAAAGCACGAACCCGGCGATCACGAGTCCTCGGGGTCCCAAACGCACAACCCACAGAGGTAAAGGGGTCATCTCCAGGTTGGATACAAGTGCAAGAATATGGGGAAGCAGGACAATAGAGAACTTTCACGTAGTGAACAGGTCAATCGTGAATATTTTTAGTCTTTTTCGAAATTCGATCAATTCAACTACGTACGAGGACAATTCTAAACCTCCATAAGAACCACATTACTCACAGTCTATCTGAAACCAACTAGAATCTGCATCAACACGACCGGATCCAACCTCGAAACTGGCTGCTATTGCCCCTCCTTTCGATCCAGTCAAAGAGTAGGTCTGAAGTGGACATACCTGTGGAGCAGTGTGGGAGGCTCTCCGGCCCTCCTTGAACTCCTGCATGAAGACTTTCCCTATCACAACATCGTCATCGTCCCTGAAGATGGTGCTAAACACCACCGTCACACGATCTGCCTTCGCCTCTACATACCTAAAAGGCGAAATGGGCAATGGCTACACTGAAAAAAAAACCCAATGCAATCATGACAAAAGGTAGCAACATTACATGGTCTCTTCCTCTCGGTAATGGATCACGGCCCTGTTGTTGATTCCTCCTTTCTCTTGGTACTCAAAATACTTTTCAAAAACAGAAGCAAAGCAATTTCTCTTCAGCATCCCTGCCTTCTTCACCAGCTCCTCCCAATTATTAGGGACTTTTTCCAGGTCAAACTTCAGAGACACATTGTACCCTGTTGGAAGAAAAGTATCACATCAATGAAAATCATGGAAGATGTTTTAGGCATAAACTAAAATCAGACTTTAGCATTATCTGTTAGCACAATCAAACCAAGGAAACAACAGGCATTGTAAAGCAAAGGTCTTCTGGCTCACACCATTCACAAATATTTAAAATTCTATTGATTTTTCTGCCTCCAAATTAAAAACCAAAACATAAATTGTTGAATCCAGTAGAGCTAGTGGATAAATCCACTTCATCCATGCCAATCATAATATCATAAAAGATAGATCTGTCACTTCTCTGCTTCCTAAATCAACCACAGTCCACATGAAATGTAATGCTCATGTACCAGTACCTTTTTTAAAATCTTAGTTTCAGCTAAAACTAACAAAGAAATCCTAAAATACCTTCTGCACCAACAAAAATCCAAAAAGTTTTTGCCCTCATGCATGATACAGGCTGTAAAAAAACTACAGACCATCCTCTGGAGTGGTGATGAGACTTCCATATTCTCGACGAAGCAGGTTATCAGCTCCATGTTCCTGAAGCTCTTTGTAGAACTTGAGCGAGATGCTCAGCTGCAAAACAAAAACAACATTGGCCTCTGCATTATGGGGTATTTTCCATAGGTCATCTTTCCTGTAAGGAATGGAACAAATTGCTTGTGTGCCTGTCTTCCATTTCATTACATGATGATAGGTAAAAGAATATTGATCTAACCCAGTGACCCCCAAACTTTTTGAGGCAAGGGCCTCATGGACACTTTAGTCCACTTTGAGTGGGCTGCATTGAAAAAGATTCAAAATTTCTGCATGGTTAACCCTTTCTTTGGCCATTGACCTCATGATCAAGCTACTCTAAACAGGAAAGTCTCATTTAATAAATGAGCAGCAATCAAAAACTGCTTATTCCTACCACATGCACACACACACATTCCACCTCTTGTAGTAATGGAAACTACCACTACTTCAAGTCAGGGTTCATCATCAAATGCATAAATTCTAGGTCCTGCTTTGTTACAAGTTGTATTTTCAATAAATACTTTATTCTTTTACCTTAACTTCATTCACTTGCAAGGAAATAAATTTTTTCTTTGCAGTATATGGATGTTCCAAATGCAAGAGATTTAGTAGGTGAACACCAAAATACATAAGCAGCGAGTATTGTACGTACCTAAATATGCTTACAATGTAAATGAGTATTGTATATACCTTGATATCTAAACAATGACTAAACTTGTTGGTTTTCAGTGAAGGATACAAAATCTGGAAATGAAAAAATTAAAATTGCTATTATTCATCAATGCCAATGAAACAGTTAAGTGTGAAAAAGTAATTGAATTATTAGTAAGTCATAGTGGGATGCATAAAATCATGCAGTGGGCTGCACTTTGAATACCACTGACCTAACCTGTAGACCAATAAGCAGATAGGTATGTGCAAGATACAAACAGAGCTAGTTTATGGCAAATTTCATACCACTGTGCATGTATTTATAGCAAATGTTATATTCAGAGGTTCAAAATTAATGCAGTAAAGGCATCAGCAACCATCAGCACTTTCAGATGCCAAACAGATGCGAATAAGCAGTGCAATGAGTCACTTCATTTCTGGCCTCAGTAGCTGATTGCCAAGCAAAACGTGAAATGCCAAATCTTGCAATTCTACACATCATACTCTTCTCACATCTCTCAGCCTACCTACCTGCCCCATTCATCTCCTGTTCCCAAAAGCCTTTCAAACAGGGTTACTACTGGGATGGACTCAGTTTCACTCCTTCCAAGAGACTCACTAATCAAGCATGCCAAATCAAAGCTTATTGTGCTTTGCTTTCTTGTTGCTTTGTGAGAGACATTTCAAGAAAAAAAAACAGCGGGGATCACTCACTCGAACTTTAGTCTTGTCCCCATCAACATTGGAGATGTGGAAGAGGACTCCATCAAAGTCAGCCACTGTCACATCTATCGATTCTGGCTTGACCCTACATGATATATACCCCATCAAAGCTACATGAATAAAATGAGAACAGGATGAGAGGAATGAAATGCAACTGACCCAGCCAAGGCATTCTTGAACTTGACCGCGAGGGTGTCCTCGACAATGCGATTGTTCACTTCGAGCAAGATCATGACACACCCACACGCACGAAAGAGACCTACCAACAAGGAAAGAAGGGCTCTAGAAGAACTTGAAACCAAATCCAAGACAGGCATAATGACAACAAAGGCAAAAAATTTTCCAGAGAAAATATAGGAAGCATTCAAGGGCTTTTGGGAGGGACAACACTGTTATCTACCTCCTGAGAGCAAACTCTACTCTCTCCCTGCTGTCAAGTGGTGAGGACATTTGACAGATGCAGTTGACAAAAAAAAAAAATTGCCCACCAACAATATAATTTCATCTAAAATGAAGTCATAAATAGTGCTTGGAAGCTATATGCCTGGCTAACACCACTGCTTCTTCTATAAGTTGGTCAGAGAGTTCATCATGGGTCAATTCCTTCCTGATGTTGAAGACGAGTTGTGGGTCCTGCCCTTTGGGAGCACTCCCACTTGCATCCAACAGCCTCACTATGTCTTCACACCATTTCTCAGCTGAGAGCTTCTTTGATTCTGCCTGAAAGGGAAGAGAACTGGGAATTCATTATCTAGTCATGGGTATAAAAATGCCCACACTTGACAATCAATGAGGCTTGCCTGTGAAACTGAGCACCGAGCAACAAGGGCCTTGTGCGTCAGACCAAAAATTAGAATGGGTCTGTCCTTGCAGAGCCGTGTGACCTTGATTAGGGGTATGGAGACATCAGTGGCCTTTGGGATGCATTCCAGCATGTGAACCACAAAGCCAAGGTCCTTGTTTCTGCTGAGCACCCCCAACATCTCTTCCTTCATCTAATGCAAGAACAGTCTTTACTTTGCAGAAGGGAAAAAAAGCACATCCATGCAGGAAAGGGTATTGGAATTCAGAATTTGGCATACCTTCTGGACAAGATAGTCCTTTCTTTGACTAATGAATTCTTTCTCAATTGCATCCAGTTTGTCTTCAATTTCTATTCTCATTTCATAAGGCACAAGTTCTGAAAGCAGCCTCTTCCTTATCTGCTTAATCAGCTGCTCCAAACCCTCTCCTACAGAGCCACTAATTCTTTTCACCTCATCAAGCAGTTTCTGACCCTTCTCGAGGATGCAGACGGCCTCCGATCCCGTGACAGCCTTCAACGTCCTGAGGGAAGATGTCACAGCCTTCTGAGACACAATAAGAAAATGTTGGATGTCTCCTGTGCAGATGACATGTGTTCCACAGCAGGGCTCCTTTGAAGAGAAGTCATCTGGGGTTTCCATGGAGACCAGACGCACATCGTCTGGGTACACCTCTCCTGGGACGAGGGTCGCTCTAGGATCAAGGACGCATTCCATGATCTTTGTCGTCTTCGTCTTCACCGGTACGTCAGACTCGATTGCCTTCCGCACCAGATCCGTGACGGCGTGGATTTGTCGAACCGAAAGGGAACCTTTCATCGTCAGAATCCCCAGGTGCAAGTGATCGCGATCGACACGACTCGAGTGCTGACCAACAGTTCCCTGCAGGACTTGACGTAGAGCAGCATTCAGAAGGTGAGTGGCAGAATGGTTTCGGGCACAATCCGTACGAAACTCCTCGTCGATGCAGAGCAGAAGCTCTTCTCCGACTCGAATGAGCTCTTTGAGGACATCACAGACATGCAAACAGTATCCACCTTGCTTCTTGGTGTCCCTCACACGAAGGTGAGGCTCTCCTTTAGCATACATAAAGCCCTGATCCCCTACTTGGCCTCCAGATTCGGCATAAAAGTTGGTCCTGTCAGTGATCACAATAGCCTCACCTGTTTCAACAGACTGGACTCTTTGACCATTTGCAAAAAGAGCCACGACCTTAGCTCTGACTGCTGGCACTCGATAATGAGAATCTCGACTGGCACCCGGGTGATAATGATACTTGGCAGCATCATCTGTCGCAGGCAAGCCATCGGATTCCAAGAGAGAAATGCAATCAGGTGAAAGGAGCCCCAGAGGAAAAGAGGCTACCTCCAAGGAATTGTCTGCTTCTAAGCTCTCAGACTCGTTAATAAGGGGGAATGGAAGTTTCTTCATCTCCAGGAGGCCTTTCAGCAGAGGGATCGAGAGGGAGTACGACCGACCGATGCGAAGGACTTCTTCTTTGGGGATCTCAGTACTGATGCTATAAATTCCCATTCGCTTTTTGCGATCGATCTCCTCCGAGGCACCGACAACGCCTGGTACCTGAAACAGGCGACCCTCGATGCCGAGACGATCCAGTCCGTGATCTCGGGCTCTCCTTTTCATATTCTCATAGAGTTCAGCTTCATATGAAAGGATGTTATGGATTCTTTGAAGATTTAAAGGTATTTCTGGATAAGGGTCTCCAAGGGTCTCAGCAACTCCCTCACTTAATCTTTGTAAAAGACCACATGAGTGCCCAAAGTCTCTTTGTGAGATTTCCAGTGCTCGCCGAATCACGAATCGAAGCTTCTGGCTACAAATGTGAAAAAGAAGTAGGATATTTTCATCAGAATTTTTCAAGACTTTCACAAGTGAGACAATTTTGTCGTAACTCACCTGTGCTCTGGGAACATGCCATCAGCCAGGGCTACAGTGGCCATACGGGCATGATCGGCAATGATGCGATAACTCACATCTAATTTGTCCACCTTCCCATATCCTGGCTTTCCAGACATCTGATGAGAAGCAAAACAAGGATGCAAAGATATCATTTGAATAGGAAATGTAATCCCTGAGATATGACATCCACTCCCTATTTCCACACACAATTGAGCTGGAAATTTCACATTGTCCAGCAAATTGAACTGACCTGCTGTATTGATGCAAAGAGTGGAGTGAAGAGATCAGTATCATAGTTTGATTTGGATTCCTGCAAGATGGCTGTCAGTCTCTCCAGCCCCATCCCTGTGTCCACATGAGCTTCTCTCAATCTGCTCAACTTCCCATCAGGGTGTCTATCTGGGAAGATTCACACTCCTCTGTGAGGACTCTCATCGATGACCAGTGAGACACTGGGGTGACTGATCAAGATCCACGCTTGGCCTCACCTCTCATGCTGAATGAAGACGAGATTCCACAGCTCCACGACACTGGGATGGCCGGTATTGACCAGATGCTTCACCCTCCCACCTTGGTGCTCATGATCATAATGGATTTCTGAACAGGGACCACATGGACCCACAAATCCCATATCCCAAAAGTTTTCCCTCCCAAATCCAAGCACTCTCTCTTCAGGAACCCTGGAGAATGACTTTCAATGTTAAATATCTGTATATAAAAGGATGCAAGGGCCACTCAAGTCAGGAAACCCACCCAAGATTGTGCCAGATCTCTCTGGTCTCAAGATCTGGGGAGACATTCTCATCACCTGCAAAATAGGTGCAGTATAAGTCCTCAGGTCTCAGGCCAAGTCGATTGGTGAGGAAGTCCCATGCCATGTTGCATGCTTCAGGCTAACAGAGGAAAACAAAAGAAAAGGGCCATTTAATTATCATTTTAACCATTTGCAAATGAGTATGGATTCCTAGACTCTAGGATAGAGTTAGAAGAGTTTTGCTTCATCAGTAAAAAAAAATCAATCTGAGTCAATGACATGCAGATCAATGTAATAGAACCTGTCAACTGGATATGTAAGTTTTTATGCACTCTGAGTTTCAGAAACAATACCTTGAAATAATCTCCAAAGGACCAAGTGCCAAGCATTTCAAAGAACGTCTGGTGGGTGGAATCTGTCCCCACATCTTCCAAGTCATTGTGTTTCCCACCGACTCGAATGCACTTCTGACTGTTCACCACACGAGGATGTGGCCTTGGCTCTTCACCCAACAGCACCTTCTTGAACTGCAAGCCAATGTGAAATACTGCATAAAGTGGATTAATACTACTGCCCCACTGAGCCCTCGGTAAGAGGTTTCACCTGGTTCATGCCAGCATTGGTGAATGCAAGAGTTGGGTCATTCCAGGGGACAACTGGACTTGACCGCATCCTGTGGTGCTGATGGTGCTCTTCAAAGTACTGCTGAAACTCTTCCCTCACCATACATGATGACCAACTGCTGGAATTGTGTCCTCTTCGTGGAACCATCCATCTGTGATTCCAATGGTTTGCACAAGTCTTTTTCAGGAGGATCAATATGCCTGATGTTTTCATTGGTCCATTGGCTCTTCACAGGTAGCAAGAGTGCAAAATGCTTTGGCTCCAGGTACCTAAAATCTTTTGGAAAGATGTTCAATGTTCAACAGAATTCATAAGACTGAAAACACCTTAGGTAATTACTTGCTGAGTTACTGTTTCCCAGACTATTGGAGGGTATCAGTTGCAAGAATGAAAAGGTAGGTATGGATGGAATGTTTTGATTTTCAGATGAATGCAGAGAAGATGGTTGAAGATGATATGGTTGAAGACACATTATAAGGTGCACTGTAATTGAGTGTTATATTATGCACGAAGAGATCTATAAAACAAATCTTAACCAGGCAGTAAGGTTAAATCACTCGTAGCACCTGGAAGCTGAAATAATAATAAAAAATTTTGAGGGTTTTTAAAAAATCAATAGAAAGCTATTTTCAAAAAATTATTTCCCCAGCTATTTACAATAGGATTTCTAAGCTGAATTAGAGATAGAAATATTGAGAAACAGATAAAATAGAATAAGGACTTGATAAGAACTTATGAAGTTGCATGATTTCATCCAAAAATTTTAAAATAAATAATCTAAAATTGAACTTAATTTCAACTTGAAAGAGCATTTCCTTCTCTCCTAAACCTTGCTGAATCCATGAAACTAAAGGAAATACTTTCCACATGCCTAGAACACAATTCAGGCATGAAATGTCAGGGAGAAAAATCCACCCCATACAAAATAGAGAAAACAGAAAATATATTGAATTGACTCAATGCAAGGTCAAAAGACACACATCCTCTGTATTGCAACAGCCATGGCTTGCAGAGATTCCTGAAGGAACTCAGAGGAGAATGAAGTCAAATAGAACGAGAAGGAAACAGATAAATTACCCCAATAATTGCAAGAAAGAGCAAAGGAACTGTTTCGGACTGACACAATTCTTCATTCCAGAATGACCCTCATAAAGCCCTTCCCTCTATGGATAAAGGATAAAGGAGATCAACTCTCTGTACAGAGGACCATGAAGAAGAAGAAAAAATATAATAGTAAGTCAGGAGGACAGGCAGACATCGGTTTTTAACTCGGAGGGATCATGCATGATCAGAAATATATGCAAAAGCTTTCCAATATTAAAGATTAACAGAGGAGGAGAAAGACTGAGAAACAAGGAGGAATGCAGAGAGAGAGAGCAAAAAAATTCTCTAAACATCTTGTTCTTCATCCTCTTCATCTTCCTCATCCAAGTAGCGCTTGGTGGCCCGACTCTTCCGTTTCGGTCGGATGCTCTTCCCACCCTTGTCGCCTTTCAGCTTGATCTTCACTTTCATTCCATCATCTTCTTCCTCCTCATCTTTCACTTCCTCTCCGTCGTCCTCCTCCTCGTTATCATCATTCTCCCCCCCTTCCCCATCATCTTCCTCTTCCTCTTGTTCACCTTCCTGCTCCAGTCTCTCCCTGGCATTTGTGAACACTGACTGGAGCACGATGGAGTCCTCATAGATCAATGAATTCTCTTCATTGTATTCCTGTGCATTCTTGCACAACTGCATGAAATCAGTCTCCAGGTCGTCCAGATTTCGATAACGATTGTTATTGATCTTGGTTTTGATCTTCTGGATGTCAAGGGGTCGCTTGATTACCTCATAGTAGTGAGGGAGTTCCTTCTTTGAGGGAAGCTTCATGAACGGTTCACTGAGGACCCGGCCATCACTGTCTGTGTACGCAACCACGATCTGAATGAGACGTCTCATCCGATGGCGCATGTTGGGGTCAGGTTTTGCTGCGTTTTTCTCCCTAGCAATGCGAGAAATTCGGCTCTTTTTGCTCCGTGGGGTGGCTTCTTCATCACTCTCATCATAACGCCGTTTCTTTGCCTTCACCCGGCTTCGCCGTTTCTTACGGTCATCTGGATAGTCCTCAAGTTCAAGGCCTTCTTCATCCATCGCCCCAATCACTTTCAGCCACTCTTTCTCAGTCAAAGAATCAGAATAATCTACCTCTTTTCGACTACGGGAACCACGCCCATAATACTTGTCTTCATCATCATCATACTGCATCTCAAGCTCCTCCTGGTCTCCTCGGACCAACCAATCAGGAAGTTCGTCCTCTTCCATGAGTCGAGGTTTCCGGTTTGGCCCTGCTTTGGAATCTTCCCTCCTTCTTTCAATGTCCATGATCTGGAACTTTTCAAATTCTTGCTCAGATCTAGCAATCATCTGATTCACGGTCTCGTCATCAGGAACCTCGGTCTCCTCCTCTTCCTCTCCCTCGTCTTGATGTAGGATCGTCTGAAGGAACATGCGTCTCTCCCATCCCGTACTCTTCTGGTCAAACATACCAGCTTGAATCACCTTCTCGTCCATGTTGAGCTTATACCTGGCGGCAGCAAGGATACGCTCCTCCACGGAATTCACCGTCATCAGTCGGAGGACTCGAACTTCATTCTGCTGTCCGATTCGGTGAGCACGATCTTGAGCCTGAAGATCTTGATGAGGATTCCAATCAGAGTCAAAGATGACAACCGTGTCAGCAGCCTGAAGGTTAAGGCCAAGTCCACCTGCACGGGTACTTAGCAGGAAGATGAAGTATCCTGAATTGGCAACATTGAACATGACAAGGAGTTGGGCTCGGTCCTCTGCCTTGGTGGTGCCATCAAGACGCAGGTAGCGGAAGCCTCGCCAGTTCAGATAGTCTTCCATGATGGTCATGAGTTGAGTCATCTGACAAAAGAGGAGAACACGATGATTTGTTGCCTTCAACTTGGGCAGGATGCGATCAAGAAGTTCAAATTTCCCAGAAGCTCGATAGAGGTCTGGTCCAGAGACGATGCCACCTTGAATTCCAATGTGGGAGCAGTAGGATTCTTCAATATGCTGAAACATGAATGGATGATTACAGAGCTTTCGCAGCTGCATGATGGTGTTCATCAGGGCTTTTGCTCCACCCTTTCCTCCTTTCCCCTTCTCAGAACCATCAGTCAGCAGCATTCCTTTGTTCTGCATGTAGCTGTAGAGGATCCTTTGCAGGCCAGACATCTCACACTTGATGATGTATTCCACTTTGTCTGGAAGCTGGGACTCCACCTCCTTCTTCAGACGACGCAGGAGGAAGGGACGAAGGACCTTGTGAAGACGGCGAATGATCAAAATCGTTTCTTCCTCGTTCAACTCCACTTTTTCACCAGTAGTAGCAAAGGGAGCATTGAACCACTGCTCAAATGTGTTGCAGGACTTGAAAATAGATGGAAGAAGGAAATTAAGAAGCGCCCAGAGTTCAGGGAGTTTGTTCTGCAGAGGAGTGCCCGTCAGGAGGAGACGGTGTGGTGCATTGTAATAGGTATTCAAGGTCTGAGTGAGCTTGCAGTGATGGTTCTTCATCCGATGCCCCTCATCAATGATCATGTATTTCCAGCGAATCTTGGAGAGGACTGCCTTGTCCTTGATCACATACTCATACGTGGTGAGGAGGACATTGAAACGGGCACCTCTCATCTGGGCTTGGACCTGCCTCCGAGCCAAGGGAGAACCCTTGTATGTGATAATCACCACAGTTGGGCCCCACTTCTCAAATTCCATTGCCCAATTTGAGAGAGTTGAGAGAGGCACAATGATGAGGAAAGGTCCATTAACTTTCTTCTTCTCCATCAAGTGGGTGATAAGGGCAATGGTCTGGATGGTCTTCCCCAGGCCCATCTCATCAGCCAGGATTCCATTCAGGTTATTGTTATACAATGAAACCAGCCACTCCAGACCTTTGATTTGATACTCTTTCAGTGACCCATTCACCAAGATTGAAGCCTGCTCTTTTACTTCTTCTTGGATTGTATGGGCAATAGCATAATAGTTTTTCTCTCCAGACAAGGTCTTGTATTCATCATCTTCCACTTTTGCCTTTGTGATCACTTCCTTAGCTTTATCTTCTTCTGTTTTCACTTCTGGATCATTGCCTGATCTGCCCCTGCCCTCATTACCATCTTGTTCATCATCATCTTCTTCAGAATCCTCATCTTCTTCCTCATCGGCCTCGTCCCTTGGAGCAGGTTCCCATCCAGGATGCATTTCAAGCCATGCTTCCAGCTGGGATGCAAGAGGAGCATCATCTCCGGTAAGGGTGCGGCCAGTCTCGGTCTCCACCACGGTGACTCGCAGTTCCCCTTGGCTTTCTTCATCCACACCTAGCTTGGTTTCAGAGGCTTTCTTCTTCTTCTGCTCTCTCAACTTCCGACGCTGCTCCTGCTTGTGCTGCTTGACCATCTCAGTGAGATTACCAATGTATTCATCTGTCTGGGATAAGAGAAATGCAAGACGCTTGTCTTTCTTTTGATCAATGAGCTTGCGATAGCCTTCTTCATCCTCAGCCATGAGACGTCGCATACGCTCCTTCTCGATTCTCTCCTGCTCTCTCGTCTTCTCCCGTTCTGCATTCGCATGGTAAGTGAGGATGGCTCGATTGATCTTGACGATCTTCTGCTGGTTGTTCCGATGGAACTCTCGTAAGTCCTTCCCGTGTTGGAGAACTGCATTGAGAAACTCCTGATGTTTCTGTCGGCGTCTTCTCTCCTCTTCCAGTTTCTGCTGTTTCTCCAGCTTCTCTGTGACTCTAGCCTCTCGCAAGCCCTGTCGCTTGCAGCGTTTGTATGCCTTGACGTTGAGAGCAGTTTCCAGAGAGGTGTCTCTCCTCACAGCTGTCACAATTTCTGATCGCAGCTGACGCTGGAAATTGATAAGGCGAAGAGCTCTGAGCTCAAGCTGAGCCTTGAAACGTATGTCCTCTGGCAAGTTACCCGGTAAATCATTGAGTTCTTGAATGCGATGGGCAATGCGTGTTGCAAGCCTGTTCTCTCGTTCCTGCAGGATGATGACCGGGTCCAGGCCGGCTGGTTTCGGAAAAGGAGTGATACGATGACCCTTTGGAGCCAGACCAGGTGCAGGAGGTCTCATTCCTGGGTGCATCTGCTGCTGTTGCTGTTGCACCATTCCTGGAGCCATTGGCTGTTGCTGTGGCATTTGTTGTTGTTGAACCATGACAGGGACGGGCTGCAATGGCTGAGGGACGCTCGTCTGCGGCTGCTGTTGCTGCTGTGGCGGTGGCTGAGCCTGGATAGGGGATGGCTGTGCCTGTTGCATGAGAGGGCTCTGCTGCATTGGAGGAGGAGGGCCAGGTGGTCTCTGCATGTGAGCGACAGGTTGCCCTGGACGTGGCCCATATGTTCCTTGTTGAGGAGGTATCCCTGGTCCCTGAGGCTCAGGTCTCTTGCCTTGTACAGCCATCTGCAATGGGGGTGGGAGGATCTGATGACGAGCCAAAAGCCTATAAGCCATGATCTGACTTCTAAGCTGGTGCAACTGGACTGGATTGAAAACATTTCCTGCAGGTGGACGAGGAGATGAGGCACTCCCATTGGGGGCTCCCCCACTTTGAGCATAGCCCTGTGGTTGCCCAGTTCCTGCTGGGCCTTGTTGGGGTGCTTGAGGTCCTCCTGGTTGAGGTGGGAGGGGCTGTTGCTGTGGTTGGGACCCTGGAGGTGGTTGCTGCTGCTGTGGGTGCTGTGGCTGCTGTTGATGCAGCATCCCTTGGGGAGGGGTTGGGCTCTGCATGGGAGGCATCTGTTGAGGATAATGCCCAGGTGGAGGAGATGGAGAAGCTGTGGTAGCCTGCTTAGCTCTGTTGGCCATGGCCATCAGCTGTGAATAACGAGGGTCTTCTTGCATACCCCTCTGCTCCATGCTTGAGATGGCTCTCTGAAGAGCATTTAAATTTTCTTGCCCATAAGCAGGTTGAGGCATGGGTCCATGCATTCCTTGCGGAGGCATGTGACCTGGTGGCAGCGGACCACCCTGATGCGGAGGGGGATAGGGATGACCTTGATGGGGCATCCCTGGTGGCTGAGATTGTTGCTGATGAGAAATAGGAGGAGGTTGCTGCATTTGCTGCTGTTGCTGCTGGGGATGAGGAGGCATCCACTGCTGAGGTGGCTGCTGTTGTGGATGATGGGGGGGCTGTTGCTGCTGCTGATGATGATGTGGGGGTTGCTGCTGCTGCTGTGGATATGGTTGCATCACATGATGCTGCATGGGAGGTGGACCACCCATTTGCATCTGTGGATGTGGCATACCCATTTGCTGTTGACCCGGATGATGAGGATGTGATTGAAGCTGCTGCTGCTGATGCATTTGTGGGTGCATCTGCATTGGTGGGCCCATGCCACCTTGTGAAACTGCATGAGAGAGATACAAAGAATGCAGACTTAATTAAAGTATTTAGAAAACTGTTACTTTCAGCTTCATCATGTATTTGAAAAAATTCTGCCATCCTTTCTTCCTAATTGAACTGCCTTTGGAAAAAGTGGGAACACACAAATATCCTGACTCCCACTGCTACTAATTATGAATGCTTACACTCTTTCTGGTCCTGTTCCCACTTGTAGATAGTCCCTCCAGACAACAAAAACTGAAATTTCTTATGTGGAAAGATGGGACATTGCTTGTTTATGAGGTTGCCACAATCTCTGCATATCAGAATAAAAATATACCGGTAATAAAACAACTTAATTTCAGAGCTTAACGCAGGAGCAGGGAGGTGAGGGAAGGAATACATCTCTCCTCAACAGTAAAATATTTAGGCCCTAATTCATGAACCTCATTTAGGGGAGATAAGGGGCTGTTTAACTAAAGAGCTCTTTTCCCCCAAATGAGTCCATGTATTCTTAAAGAGCCATTAAAGGAGATTTTGGCATTCTGGCCAAAGAGGACTGTGACATTCTACTGCAAGTGGATGTCAGAAATGATTTACAATCTCTTCAGGATTTTGTCTTAAACAAAGACTTACGGCCCTGCCAAGAGTATGACTTCCCTCTCAGGCTCACAGGAAAAAAGGAGAAATGCATAAAAAACCTCAGATCAACCTACCCTGTGGTGAAGGCTGTGGAACCTGCTGTTGAGGAGGGGGAGTTGGCTGAGGTTGTGGGGTGGGAGGATGGCTGGGGGAAGGAGCTGGATGGGGACTAGGAGAGGGACTCCCTTGCATCCCAGCTCCAGTTGCAGGGCTTGGATTTGGAGATGGTCCAGCACTACCCTGTGGTGTCGGGGGATGCCCTGTTGTGGAAGGCGGTGTCCCCGTCCGAGTCGGTCCACCGCCGCCAGGCGGCATGTTCTGATTTCCACCATTTCCAGACATCTTCTGATGTTAAACAGTTACAGCAAGTTGCCTCTGCTTTCACTGCATTATTTATGCCCAAGAACACTATGGGACATACTGTTGCATCTGGAACAAAGCTGAATGAAATTTTATTAGGGAAAATTAGTCTCCAAGTTGTAGCTGAGCAGGCTTTCCAAAGTGAAAAGAACGACTAAGGTTAGGCCTGTAAGTCCTAAGGCTTATCCCATACGCAAAAATGACAGCTTTCTTCAGGTTATAAGTGCCATGTAATATGTTTTCAGCAATTTTAACCAAAGAGTACCAAATTAAATGCAGGATTTCACAAGAGTCATATAGTAAGGGCAAAAAGAGCTCACTCAAAGCCCAAGCAGTATGTATGGAATAGAGCCCTTAATGGGTGACAGGCACTTGTGGGGTTTGGGTTTGCCTGGCTTTTAAGGGGAGGTACCTTGGATGGTATATAATGGATGATATGCATTGGCTCCATTTGTCAACTAAGTTGATCTCAAAGCAGGTGCCCCCATCACAAGATTTTCCCCATTTTCCATTATGAAACATCTTAATTTAGTTAAACTTCATATCATCTATATCCTATCACAACACAAAGTAAGAAGTTTTAAATGACCATGATATCCATCGACAATGAAGAGCTACTTAGTTTCATGCTGAAATGCCAAAAAAAGAGCACAAAATCTTTCCACAAGGCAAAGGAAGCACATTCCTTTAGATTAAAAGACAATTTAGCTATTCTTGCCAGAAGCTTTATGACATTAAAGTGATGTTTGGGGTTATGATTCTGAGCTTGGCCCTGAAGTTGGCCAGCTTGAGCAAGAGACAATACCTATAACAATTGACACTGATGGCAAATAATGACTGTGCATCATGAATATCAAAATTGTACCTGCTTTTTTCACTTGCAAGGACATGCTGCACTCCTACTCAAAATTAAACTGCAGTTTACTTAAATAAGGTATGGTGCCTTGTACCGTTTCTCCCCGTAAGAGGTGATTAACTTCACATTTATGAAAGGCATCATAAGATGCATTGCTCAACTGCACAGCTTGTCACAGCCCATCCTGAAGATACAACATACTCCAGACCAAAGACATACAGTGGTTTCTTGTTATTACAATGTCTGCAACGATCTACAGAGCAATTTCTTTGCCTCTCGACATGAGATGCAAAGGTTGGTACTAGAAAGAAGTCATGGGGTGACCAGTTCCCTCTGTCCTCGTTAGGACAAGATATAAAAACGATGTACCTCGGTCATTACTACCAAAAACTTGTCATACCGGGAAAAAAAAAAAAACTATCACAGCTAATGAATGCCCCTCATTCTTCAGTGCATCAGAGGTTAACGTTAGTTCTTACAATAATTGATGAGCATCCATATCAAAGGTTTCACAGACGTTAACGGTTCGATGGAATTGCATGTCAGCAAGCCTATGAATACTTTCTCAATTTACCATTCTCCTATCCTTGAGTCTACTACTCGTATAAAGTTACGCTGGTTCTTTCAGTCATTCATGCGCATGTCTAGGCCTAGCCTATATGTAACTGCTCTGATACGCCTAGCCTAACGTTAGGCAGCTGGTGACTGGTTTAGAATGGTTTCTCATCAGCCAGACAAATGGGAAAAGGACTGCTAACAACCAGTTGGCATAGCAGAATGTGGGGCCTTGGTTTCAGACCGGATTTTCGTCCTCCATGATGCTGATTTAGTAGGAGAAGCCGTAAGCTAGATGGCAGAGGGGTAGGAATGATGGCGCCAACCGTGTCCGCATGTGACAGTCTCGTGTATGCCTCGTGGGTGAGCTCTGCGCTGAGGTCATGTGAGGGGATCAAGCGTTTCGCTCGCGTGAATGCGGCTGCTTCGCCGCAGAATTGTTTCCCTTTTCGCTGCGGTCCTCATCTGTCTGGTGATGTACGGAGGGACGATTAATGTCGTCCGTTGCGTGTGGAGTTTCTTCCTGGCGCTGGCAGCCTCGACGGATCAGTCGTGCTCGGGCGTCGAAGACGGTTGTGCCGAGGCGGGGAGTGAAACTTTTCTCTACTCACCGTCAGCGAATGATTCGGGGGTTTTGCACGTTGGGTTCATATTTTGTCGGACTACAGAGCATCCTAAACTCATCGAGGATCTTAAAGTGTTGTTGGAGTCTTTGTTCCAACACACGTCCTCGTCCATCGCTTTGCATGTGATATGCGATGATGATGGGTGGAAAAGTGCGAATGAAGTCATTGCCAACTGCCAACTCTGTCAGGACAAGAAATTGATAAGAATGGTAAGTTCTGGTATCTCCTGGAAACTAGGATCAAATTGGGGAAAATTTTATTATATATATTTCATGTCTTGAAGGTCGAGAAACACAAGATCAAAGATTTGGTGTCATCCTACCCAGAACTAGTTTCTGTGCTTCGTAAAAAATTCACCAAGGAAGGCTCCTATTATGGTGATGACCTGTTTGTCATCACGCCCTTCCTTCATCTCCTTCCCATCGACAAGATCATCATCCTCGATGTCGACCTGAAGTTTCGGGCAGACGTGCGAGATCTCTGGTCTGAATTTGAAAAGTTCCTGCCCTCATCTGTGATCGGGGTGGCACCCGAGTTGAGCCCTGTATATTATCACTACACCCATCAGTATCGCAAGGAGAACCCATTGACAAAGGTGGGGTCGACTGAGCCAAAGCACATGCAGGGCATCAACTCAGGAGTCATGCTCCTGGACCTGGAGAAGATCCGCTCCCAACCGGAACTCCTACTGCTGCAGCTGGACCCGTTGGAGGTTGAGCGCCTGCATAGGAAGTACGACATCTGGGGGGGACTTGGAGACCAGGACCTTGTCACTCTCTTGAGCTTTGAGCATCCAGATCTATTCCATTTCCTTTCATGCGGCTGGAATCGTGCCCTCTGTCTCTGGTGGAAACGTGTCTATCCCGAACTCTTTGAGGAGTATTTCCAATGCAATGATGAAGTCAAGATCTATCATGCAAATTGTGGCTCCTCCTTTCCCCCCAATGCCTGAAACAGGAACCTGCTATATTCTCATCCAGTTAGCAATTTGTTAATTGAATCTGCAAGATATGCCAAAGAACTGGTCCTGTTATGTAACCTGGTTTAATATTGAATTTTTAAAATCAGTTTGAAATAAAGCAGCTTATCTTCTTTCCAATAAACTGAAGGACTCCCTACATATTTTTCAAACGGGAATGAATTTTACCCAAGGCTCTGGCAGAATTTTCCTAATTCACCTAACCTAATCCTATCAAAGTTTATCATTATTTGCAGCACTTGGCTGATATGCAGGTCAGTGCTCATCAAAATCTCCCTTTGCATTTGGTCATGGGTACAGAAGGGTTTTGGTCGAGTGGCACAAGCAATAAAATCCACTGGAAAAAAAGCAATTCATGAAAAATGAAGCATAGCTTTAGCTCTTCTATTCAGTTTCAGTTAGTATGCCTGTATTTCAGGCTGGAAATATGCTGTTTTTGCTCTGTTATTAGAATTTATGAGATGATGGGAAATGTTGCAGAGAGATGGTGTTCCTTTTTTTGTCTGTTCAGGCATTATTCTTTCCTAGCATGTGGATTTTCACTTTCAGCAGTGTCATTAGAATTAATTGGTGTTAGCAGTTTCACAGTTTAATCAAGTGCATATTTTCCAATGACCTTGAGGTCAAGCAGGGATTCCAGGTCCCTTAGCCTGGAAATGAACTTTTTCCAATGGCCTGACTCTTCCATTCTTAAAATGATCTCATCATTATTGGTTTTTTTTTTTACCATACTTTCTTTTTCCAGGTGGAATAAGAATAAGAAGCCAAGCATGGAAGGCAGGAGAGAGCTGCAGATGGTTGCAGCTGCATGCCTGAAGATGGCAGATGAGGGCCAGGTGCCAGAGGAGGCCCTGCACCATCTCGTCGAGGTTGTGGACTCACTCCTTTCCTCTGATGTCTCTCAGATTCAGGAGATGCTGGTCCTTCCATTTAGCATTGTTATTGCTAAGCCTCAAATGTGAGCCCTTCATTTGTGCTAGGTTGCCTTCATGCCTTTCTATTAGCCGTGTCACATTGGATTGAAGCCGTTTGTTTTTTCGTAGGAAAGAGAAGACCAGAGTGTTGGCGTTGGAAGGATTGAAAAAGATCTTTCAGAAATCAGTGCCCTACAAGTGCAAGTGGTCAGCAATTTCTGACATTTTTTCACTCCTCTTCAGGCGTCTCAGTGATAGAGAACAACTGCAACTAGGTTTTTTGTGATCAGCTTTCTTGCTTTGAATTGAGAGGCAATTTTACACTCCAAAAAAAAAAAATTTTTCTTCCTTAAGTGAGTGAGGTTAGTGAGGAGGTGAAGATAGCAACTGTGGAATGCTGTGAGGCCATGCTCTTCCATGCACCTGTGATGTCAATAGCCGATCTGTATGAGCCCAGCTTCTCCCATCGTCTCGCTCATGGCATCTTTGTCCTTCTCCAACTCATTCAGAAGGAACAGTATTCTAACCTTCGGTATAATTACCTTCTTTTTGATTGATGTCAATTTGGGCACCACGTTCCATGGTCAGAAGGAATTTTTCTTGTCAGCCTGGAAAGCTTGAAGTGTCTGAGGACAGTCATGGGATTGGATCGTGTGGAGGAATTCACAAAGATCAAAATTGCAAAGTCTCTGGCCGAGTTCTTGCCGGGAGTCTCGATTGCCATGGAGAAAGTCATCAATGCTGATCACAAACAACACCATGCTGTTGCTGAGGTTGGGGTTGTTTTAAGCAGAAAATTTCTTCATTGTTGGGAATTATTTTGTACGTTTTCCTCCATTATTTTATAGCTGGCTTTAGTGACATGGGGAGAGATGGTGAGCTTGGTGATGCAGGATTCCATTGTGAAGAAGCTTGACAAGGGTCAGTCCTGGGTTCTTGACACTGGGACAAAGCTGAGAATCCTCATCGAGCGGATGAAAGGCTTGGAAGTCCACCCACATCGTCTCGTTCGTCTCGCCCTGGTTTCTTTTTCTGCCAGGCTCCTCGTTCAATGTCGGGAGTAAGAACGGCCCCCTTTTTCCACTATATATTCGGTGATAAAACATGACGTTCACATTGGTCTGTGCTCATAGGTCACTGCAGAATTGCACATCGACTCTGGTGGACATCTTGGTGACCCTCTCGTCAGACAGTTGGATGGAAGTGCAGGAAGAGGCCAGGAAGCAGCTCCATGATGCATCCACCATTGTTGGAGAGGTCAAGGACTTCCAGGAGATTTTGGAAGATCGTCTCTTTGACATTTCGTCCCATCTCCACTGGTCCCTGTTATCTGGAAGTGAGTGGCAGAATCTCTTTGAACATTATGATAAACATGTACACAACTTGGAAGTTTCACAGCAACTTGCAACTGTGCAGATGACGAGATGAAGCTGAGGGAGATTCGTTTGCTGGGAGGATATTTGGAGCTCTTGGGTCTATCTGTCAACAAGGTTCTTAACTCCAGTGCTCATCTCCACCAGATGACGCAATCTCTCGTGAACCTGGCTGAACTGGTGCCACAAGGCCTTGCCATAGTGGAAACTGCTCAGCATGACCAGAAATGTATGTGATTGAGTTCTCATCCAAGCTTCATTTCCCCTCCTTTCTTGAATATTTGCTTGTGCAGGGTCAGATACAGGTGGATCGGGTACACCTTTTTCATCGTGGAGACAGTTTAAACATTTTCACAATCAAATAGTGTGGGAGGAACTTCAGCGAGTTTGTCACCTTTTGGGTGCATATGGTGACCTCTTCATCCTCTTGGATTGCTTTCTTGCCATCATGAGGGAGGAGAAACATGCACGACGGAAGGAGGCCATTCTCATTCTCAATCAAATAATTGCAGGTGAGCTGATTGAACTATGCTCCTTTTTTTGTCTTTTACACAGAAATCTCATAATTTATGGCTGTTGCAGGGCAAAGAAAGGAATTCTTGCAAAATTGTAAGGCAGAGGGAATGAGAAAAGAGGATTTGAGAGGATTGATCAAGAACCTCTCAGTGGAATATGTAGATCGTAGTGTTCTTGGTCCCTTGACCGAATCCTCACCGCTTGCTTCCCAGGCCAGTCATTCGCTGCAGACGGTGCTTCTGCTTGGTACATCATGCTTTTTTACTTTCTGCATTTTTCCAGCTGACCAAGTGCAAAATTAACCAATTCAGATCTTTTAATATGCCTCCAGAGGGATTGGGGTACCATTCAGAAGTGCTGGAGGAAGACTATCAGCCCGTGTTGGTGCGTGTCCTCTGCCCCATCTTGGAGAAGGCAGCCAGTCCAGTTTCAATGGTGTCTGAGGCTGGATTGGCCTGTCTACAGAGAATCGCTCATTCAACAGGATGCTCGGGCATCCCCGACCTCATCGGCAGAAATGTAGATTATTTTGCCCATCAAGCATGCATTCGGATGAGGAAGGTAGATCGTTACCCCGAAGCACCTGCCATTGTCAGGGTTGTGCTCCAATATGCCCAGTTCAAAGTCCTTCCTCTTGTCGTGGAGATCGTCAATGAGGTGAAGAATACATTGTGTATAGACATCCCATGGGAGTTGAGCACAAAAATAATAAAAGTTTGCAAATAACATGCATTCAGAAATTCAAATGAAATAATGCAGTTGAAATGCTCTGCTCCACAGATCATGCATACTCATTATGAGTCTCTTATATTATGAGAAGTTTTTTTTTCACAAATTGGGCAGCAGATAGTCAAAACTTTGAAGGCTTCTATGGATGTCATCTTCAAATTCCCATGAATAGTCTCCAATGGGATGGCTTCCAAGTCTATGTTTTCTCTCCCTCAGGCAATGCAAAGCCTCGACCTTCACCAAGAGAAGGCAACACTGTACATCCAAGTCTTCCGCTCGTATGTGACCTGGCTTGCCAACTGTGAACAGGCTGTGAACAGAGAGTTACTCCCAAGCAGCCCAACTCCTTGTGCTCCATCTGCAAGGAAGTCGCTTGCTGAAATCCTTTCTGAGAGGATCACTGCTCACAGGATAGCCAAGCTGGAGGCTCAGGAAGAGGAGAGAACTTTTGAGGAAGTGCAAGATGCTTCAGATGTGCCAGAAGAGGAACAGTTGTTTGAGAATGCCGAGGACATCGAGAAGAAGACTCCGGAGCATCTGCAACTGGTCTCAAATGCTATGGAAAAATGCTCTCATCTCCTCACTCTTGGTGGGAGGGACGAGCGGCTGACCCTGACCGCATGCGAGACCGTTCGTGGCGGATTGCACGTCCTTGCGTCTCATGAAGACGATCTCCTCCCTGCCGTGCACAAAGTCTGGACCGCACTTATACATGTGTTCACAAATTCAAGGAATCCCATGATCACATCACATGCCCTGGAGACTGTGGCTGTGATGGCCGACGTGAGCGGGACGTTCGTGCGGAACCGAGTCGTGGACCGACTCGTCCCCCAACTCGTTCGCTTCCTCCGGTGTGAGGTGAAGACCCTGCATGACAAAGGATCAGACCCTGGATACAGATTCACACAGGCCTTCAAATATCAGGCAAAGATCTTGGATGTCCTTGGTCCATTATCTATGAAGCTAGAGTTGCAGGAAAAGCATGTGAATGCCTTGGCACTCGCTTGCCATCCTTATCTCAGCACAAGGCTTCCCCTTCTAATACAGGTAGGTTCGTCTGTTGTTGTCTTTTTACAGTTGTTTGATGGCTATTTTGAAGAGATCATCTTTTCAAAAATCTGTTTTGAAACTTGATCAGGAAAATTGGAATCTGTAGGAGGGGGAGTTTCATCTATAACTTTCACATTCTTTCCTTCATCTTCTGACTAGCACAAACCCCAGGCACTCCTGATCCTCTAACTACATTTTTTTAGTGTTAACTTCTGCCCTGCTATTCCTTTCCTCATGTTTGAAAATTGGTTTCCCTTTGTATTGTTCTGACAGTATTGTGCTTGTTCTTGCATGTGTACTTTATTAAATAAGTATGCCCAGGAATGAGTAACTGCTTCATACCAGCCATTATTGCCTAGGATCCAAGAAAAGACACAATTTTTGGGTCTTTTGTAAGACTCCCAATTGAATGTAAAAGATTATAATTGGCATAATGGTGGAGAATTATTATTTTTATTAATTTCAATGAATTCTCATTGAATAAAATTTTAAGCAGTTGAATAGCAGAAAAAAAAAATTGTTGGAATTCCTGGTGTAGGGCACTCCCACCTTTTGCTCTGTCAACTGGGTCACATTCTGTCTTTGTCATTGTTTTTCTTCTAAGTTTCCCTATCATCATGAGTAAGCTCCTGCTCTTCTCAGAGATTGCGTTTAGTCATATTCATTGCATGAAGGAAACAGGTTATTTTTTCTATATGGCCACTTTAAAGGAATGATCTGCTTCATTCAAAAGATACTTAAATTTAATGCAAAAACTGATACCCGAAAATTTTTTGTTTTCCTTTGACTGTGACGCATGACAGCAGCCTCACGAGTGAAACCTGTCACAAAAGCTTAAAATACTTGAACCCACTTTAGTGCCACCACAACTGCTGCATCCAGAATCAAAAAGTTCTACACTCTAGAACTCAGCCAGGTGTAATTTATCACAATAAGTGGGCCACCTTCTCGATTCTAACTCCGGACTAGAATTAACAGACCAGAATTAAAATCTACTTAAATGTGTTCAACTTCCATGGTATACCTTGGGGACTCTCCAGCATCCTCTCTACAAGTGGAGCTCCTTGAACCTCGTTCAAGTTCTAGCTGCTCATTCCTTTGTTGAGGCTACAAAGTTTCAAGGAAAAACTGAGCACTCTCCCTAGCTTGAGTGAATATTGCCCTCTCTTTCCTCATTCATTGCTCAAAATTCCATGCACTGATCTTAACGATTTCCTTGCAGTTGGAAGGTCACTTAGTTTCCCTTGATTTAAGACACAATACATGATGACTCATGTAGACTTTTGATAGGGGGATTGAGGAAAGATGGAAGGGATCAACCTCTCCACTGCTTTTTGTGGAATGGTGTAGTGTATTATGGGACCTTCTCAAGTGGATCTGTCATTTGAGTCCAATTGACATGAAAAAAAGAGGTATTAAATTAATGCAGGTAGAGAGGTACCCAATGGTTTACCTTCCCCAAATATAAATAAATAGAGCCATCTCTCCAGGGTTTTTGATGAATCTGGGTCATCACTGTTTGGTGAACTTGACACAACTAAAACTCATCTTGGTTTTAAGATTCTCTCAAATATATGGCATAGTGTTATGACTGAATCAAAGCAGAGGTTCAAGAATGTTGCCAAATAAAGAGATGCTGATTTTCTTCCTTCTTTCCTTGGATTACAGGAAGGAGCAATCAAGCTGTATACCTACTTGGGAAAACTTGCACCCAATGCCATCTGGCTCATACTGTCTGACATTTGGTGTCATCAGTCACAGCTTCTTCATCATCAATCTCCATCCACTTTCCCTCCAATACTGGTGAGTGCTCAGAACCAATTTTGCTTAATTTTTGTCATTTCCTCCATCTAACATTGCACAATGTCTTTGCAGTTATGTGGGAGCACAGAGGAGGGGAGTGACTTTGCTCAAAACATATCTGCCATCCTGCAAACCCTCCATGGGCAAAGTTGATGGTGTGCATGGGTGGTGTTTTAAGGTTTGATTGAGAATTCACAGAAAATATATTGCTGTATTTTGAGACATCACCCCATTAACAAGAGCGAAAGACTGAATGGATGGAGAGTTTTGGGAAAAGATATGAGAGATCACATGATACGAGAAGAACGAGGCCGATGAAAAGGAATCCGGCCGAAGAAACACGCTTTGTACTTGTCGAGAAAGTGGCAAGCCCTCCTTTAACGTTGCCTCACTGTACGATGAGCATCTGCAAGTGTTTTACAGTCGTTCACTGTGCAGGAAGCATCCACAATACACTCAAGAAAGTTTCTTTGGCACTTCTGGGAAACTGATGATAGAAAGCCGCAATCACGTGTCGGTCCCGTGTCTTGCGGCGACGGGAAGTGCCATGGGCACGGTCATGTGAATGGGGGGTCCAGATCGATAGTAATCCATCGGAGGAGGACGTCGTCGTCCTCCGTAAGCCTCGAGGCTGCTGTGAGCGCTCGTTCTCAGTCGAGGATCGAACGCTTCTCCCGGATGGAGGCTTCGTCCCATTCCTTGTCCCACGAAGGGACGATGTCGTTGTGGTGGTGGAGGTGGGGCTCCACTTCTATATCCATCTGTTGGAAAAATAAAAATTCAAAGGAAAATAAATCCACTGCAACCCATAACAGCAGCAGCAAAGGGAAAAAGTGTCAAACCATGAGGCATGGGAAGGTGGGAGTATTGGTGAGATGGAGGGATTTGTCCTCCCTTTGGGATTCTTCGGGGTAGTGACCCTTGCGAGTCTCTCGGATGGGGATGAGAGACGCCCAGGGCTGTTGCCGGCCGAGTCAGAGCAGCCACGCTCTCGTATTCGTAGAAGTTGGACAGCGGCCGCTCACCCGACTTTTCTCGCCCCCTTTCTCGCTCTCGTACTCCTCCCCACCTTTGGGAGTGATACACCCCTTGAAGGCTGCTGTTAATAAAAACCACCACAGAAATGTGATGTTTGGTTTCTCAGCTCACTACAAAATTGCTTCCTCTGATCAGGATCCTCTGGTCACTCACATTTTCAAATTCATTGTTCAAGAGGAGACAATGCTCAGAATTGTGTCATTCGTCAGTTTCAGTCAGGCAGTGCATGAATTTCAGCTGTGTGAATATGGGGTGCAAGTACTAATATTAAGGTAATGTTAGGGGATGACAAACCCCAAGATATGAAACTCTGGAATGATGTTATTCTCTTAATTCCATTTGAAAAAAAAAAAATTAGAGACAATATCATCTTCCCACATCTTCACATCTCCGAACATTTCCAGTCCAAACTTCATGTATTAACACCACAGAACAGGGCTCGGTATGGATTCAGGCATCAGTGTGAATGTCACTACAAGTGCAGTTCTACTGTACCAGTGAATAAGTAGCCATGAGAGAATCTGAGGATTCATTCCGTCCAAACATTTGCTTAAAATATTGGTCCAGGCACTTGCTTGAGATCAAATTGGAAATAAGAGACTTTGCAATCACAGCACAGCAACATAAAATCAATGCATGCAGGGTTAAAACACATCTATGGCAACAGTCTTCCTTGAGCTGGCCCTTAGTCTTTCTTGAGTGAAAAGTCAGGAGTGTCTGTCATTCCTCAGGAGATGCAAACCTGTCTCTGGAGATCATCCAAAATGCAATCAAGAGGCAGCATGCAAATGAGAAGCAGCATAGAGAACAGTGAAACAAACAAGTGAAATTCCAAAAAAAAGAAGAAACCGTGTCTGTACCTTCGTCTGGGTGGTCGAGTCGGAGGGATGAGCTCGATCGGAGGGGGAGGAATGGGAGGTGGAGGTAAAGGTGGACGTGGAGCTGGCGATTTCTTCCACCTCCTTCTCTCAATGAATGTGTTAGATAAACGAAACAATGGAAGAAATGGAGGCAAGCAGGCAGAGGACAAGGTTTCCAAAACCACCAAGAACATAAGGAGAAAATAGAAAAAGAAAAAACTAAATGCATACTGATAAAAGAAAATATGAAACGAGGCATCGAGTTCAAAGCTCTCAGTCGGTTAATGACAGACATGATGGTACGTGCAACACGAATTCCTTGCTCGCTCACTCACCGTATGTGTCTCTCGATTTCTTGGGAGTTGACATAATGGGAATAAGAGGCAGAAAACTGGCTGCCTTGGCCCACATCACCTCTTCCATCTCTCACCTCTTGTCGCTATTATAATGAACAGAGATTATGCAGCACATTTGATAACAATGAGGCCTTGACACAGAATACAGAATAAGGATGCATCAGTTGTGAGAGAGACTGTTTCACCCTCTGACATGAATCACAAAGAACAATACACAACTGTATTCAGAATCTACTCTCCTCAAGCTTATACACCCCATAAGTACCATGATCACTGAATAACTTTTTTCTTATTGCATTTGGTGTGAGAAATAGTAAGTCTATTGGCCTGTAACCAATTGCTAGTTTATAACCAGCAACTGGTTCCAGAGCCTTGCAGATTGCTGCAAGTATCAGGATAAGATCTAGGATATCCACATGAACAAGAAAGCTGGTTCTCCCTTTCCCTTCCCAAAGATTTCTTCAGCCCTTTCACTATTGAATTGCAGGGGATCCTGATTTGATGTGAAAAGGATGAGGTATAATGCAAAAAGGAGAGTTTTACTTTCTCAGTGGAAGAATTCACTTCCAGCACATGGTCATGTCCTTGCCCTGAGTGCCTCTTGCCAGTGAAATCCAAATATAAATCCAAACTAAAAGCAGTTTACTATGCAAGAGTTCTACATCCATTCTAAACCTAAATTTCAATGTAAAAATGGTGAAGAAAAACTGTTCAGTTTAGACACATTTCATGAAAATCAATTTCTTGTAAAGAACACAAACTAGGTCTCCCCTCATTTCATGCTTATGTTTACAATCTATTCCCATGCCTACTAGGTCACTTGGCAGTCCTGTAATTACAGCACCAGGATTAAACTCCTGAACAACTGGGAGATATGATGAAAAATTGGACTGACCTCTCCAAATAATAAATCAGTAAGACTTTTGCCCACGTTGTCCAGCCAAAAGTACATGTTGTTAAGAAATGGAAGTCATTTGTATCATTACTGACCTTAGGTGGAAGAGGAGCAGTATTCGAATCCCCCGGATAGAAGCCGTGTCGCTCTTGGTGCTTCCGTTGATGATCCGCTCGGAGCTGGTTCATCCGTTCCCACCGCCCACTTCCTCCATCGCCACCTCTCACCATCATCTGATACAGATTCATTGAGGTAATTTCAATTAGCATTCCATTAAGCTGATCCAAAACTGAAAGTCCAGGATTAGGTATGAGCTAATGCATGTGTTCCTCATGCTCTTCATCCATTAACTTGAAAGTGGGACAGAGAATCACCATGTCATCTGTACTGGTACAAAATTAGAATGACTTCACACATTTCAAATTGACTTAGCACTTTTTCAAATTGGGTCAATTTCATTTGCAGCATCAAAAAATTGCACCAAGTTAATCCAAAGTCACAGTAAATTATTACTTCTGTCCAGTCAACTGATCCCAAAACAATCACTGAATTTGTTAATCATTTTGCCAAATGGAGCCAAAGCTCAAGTCAACTCAAAAGGGTGTATGGTCTAATGGTCGGGAATAGACTATATCTGTCGACCGGTCTAAACTGCTCCCTAACCAAATCTCCCCTTTATACAAGGCATAACATCATCCATACCTCCAATCTCCTCTCGTGCACGGAAGGCAATGGCTTACTTGTTGCGAGTGTACAGACATGGCCTGAGCCTCTTCTTGGTATCTCCTTTGATCCTGTTGCTGCTGGTGTTGTTGCTGCTGCTGCCTGTGAACGAGCTTCTGATATTCCTCGTGGATCCTGGCCTGCTCCTCTCTGTAGGCTTCTGCTGCGAGATTCCTCTGGCGTTCCTCGGCAGACTGACCGCCTCGCGTGGACGTTCCTGCAGACTTCCCTTCCTTTGCATCCCTGTGCTTCCCGAACCTGTGCGGCGAGACGAATCCGGGGTCGATCGGTCGAGTCACTTCCGAAAGACGAGATGCAGTTAGGAGGGAAATCCAGCAGACCTGAACATGGAACCGAGTCCCTTGAGGAACCCATTAGACTTCTTCTTCTCCTTCCCCGTCGTCTGCACGTCGGGCGGGCGGGAGTGAGGACGACTCGTTCGGGGGTGAGTGTGTGTGTGGTGGGGTTGGCTGTGGGAGCGGGTGTGATTGTGACGGGAGCATCGCGAGGACCTCCTCTCCGGCATGGATGCCGACGACGACTGGAAGGCTCCTCCCCGAGGGAATGCTTCGTTCCCTACACCACCTCCTCCTCCTCCACCTCCTCCTCCTCCCACATGGCATTCTTCCATCTCCTCTGCTACTGTGGACAGAAGCACCATCACGCATCCTGCAGAATTTTGCAAGGAACACATCCGAGGTCAGAAGCTCGTACGAGTTTCCATGTGAGCCTGTGCCTCGGGAGACAGGGGGGCATCGTAGGATCGATCCACGGCCGCACGAAAACTCTCGTTGCATCCTCGTCCTCTGATCACGCGGACCGGATTGGGCCGATAGGTCAGGGCCGGATCTCCGTCTTCGGCCTGGCTCATCTGAGACGACGGAACGAGCGGGATGGAGAGAGGAACGCCAAATAAATCCTCACACACGACATTCTCGAAGACGTTCTCACCTCTTGGACCATGGTCTGAAGAGATTCGAGGCTGGACGATTTCTTCATTCCGAGGTTAGGGCCGATTTCCCTCGCTCTCACCACACCACCTAAGGATGCGAATTCTTCGTTCCGTGATCCGAAATCATCGAACCGATTCGTTGCAGACGTTCCGTTCGCCTCGCATGCAAGACGACGGACCGAAAGAGGGAAGGCGAACCTCCACGACGGTCAAGAACGGGACAGACGGGAGCAGAGGCAGCCAACGCCAGAGCGATGGCATCCGAAGACCAGATGCGACGACTGTGCATCAAGCTCTCGAGCCCTTTTCCCCGCGGAAGCGGCCAAACACACACGCAAAGAGGCAGAGAATCCCCGGTGTCAGTGAACGGCGAAGCGTTAAACGGTGCGGTTAGTCGAGGGAAAAGAAGCAGTCGGAGAGGAGCGAGCGAGAGATGTGAGAGATCTTTAACGAAGGCATCGGAAGCGAGAGATCGGCCGAGGGAAACCCACCATTGACTAGAGGCGAGGACGCGTGATCGACTCGGGTCTGCCGCTCTCCGTCTTCGGGGCTTCTCGTCGACCGGTCCTGTTCCTGCTTCTGGCGCTCGCGTTCTTCCCTGCGACACGAGGCAAACGTTCACCCCCCTGCCGGCATCGAACCGAGGAGAACGAGGCGGTCGACGCCCGGAGAAACTCACCTGAGCTTCTTGGTACGCTGATAGGTGTCGGTGTTCTTGGCGTCCATGGCGGCGTGCCGCTTCTCCGACATGCTCCGGCGGCCGAACTGATCCCGGGAAAATCCCGGCGCGTTGTCCTCCAGGGACGTCCTGAAAGACCGACGAAGATTCCATTTGCTTTTCCCCCGTTTGCTCGTTGGCCATCTTACCACGCGGTAGATGAACAGAAAAATGGCAAGAAATGTGGCTATGAATTCCAGAATATCTAGTCTCACACGGTAAATAGGAAACCATCACACGCGTAATTTATAGTACCAAATGGGCCTTGAAAGTCACATTCGTGCACACTACTCGAACGAAAAGGTCTGACGGGGGCAATACGTTGTGACTCGGGATGTCACGGGGCCGTGCCACACCCGCATCCCTCGAACAAAAACACGGGAAAGAGATATCATTTTCCAACGAGCTCGTTTCCGAAATTCAAAGCCCATCGGCAACCCTCGACGACGCCAGAAGACTCGTCTTCCTCACTGAGACGTGTAAGCGACGTCGGACGCGTCGCTGGCCATCCTCTCCGCGTCGCTCGCATTCGGCACGCCCTCCTCCCTGGAAAGAGAAAGAGACCTTGCACTCGGAACGCCGAACCGAGGCCCAGAGACCGCAGAGGCGGTCCGTCCCCTCACCTCGCCCGAACCCCGGGCCGATGCGGCTGGGCGCGGGGATGCGGCTGCGGCGCGACGTACTCGTCCTCGATGATCACCATCTCCTGCGAGGGCGAGACGATGGTCGGGCTCCTGAATCCGACCTCTCCTCCCGGAGGTCTCCCTTCCATGTAGAACTCGTGGTATCTGCTCGCGTTCCACGTGTCGTGGGTCGCCTGAAAAGGACGAGACGTTCACGGGGCCGGTCTTCTCGGGGCCTGCACTCCCTTCGACGAATGGGAATCTCCTTGCATTTTTTACATTCGAGTACGTTTTTCCGGTCGTTCGTTTTTCGATGCCACGCACGCATCGATTGCATTCCCGACTCCGAGCTCGATGCTGCACTCATCGCGTTTACGTACGAAAACGATCTCTCGTGATGGATGCCCGGGAATTTTCCGAACGGACGACCGAACGACAGAGCGTCCGACCCTCGAAAACCGAATCGCACGAGCGGGACCGAGACGAAGGACGGACGGAGACGAGAGATCTCACCTTGTAATAGCTGTCGTTGCGGAGGCTGCTCCTCCCGGTGATCCGGTCGATCACGGGGTTCCGCGAAGGCAGGAAGTCGTACCCTACAGAAACCGGAAAAAAAAAAAACACACTAGACACCCCATCGACACGCAGATTCCTGGATTTCCTCGACGCCCCTCACCCGTCTCGTAGATCTTGGGCGGCTGCGAAGCCGTCCCCGGCGGCCGTCGCCTCGGCGGAAGCGGCCTGTTCTCCTTGTCCTCCCCGGCGTCGCGGCGACCCGGCGACCGCTTCGCCGGCAGGAAGATCGCCGTCTGCTCCGAGTTCTCGCTCGTCCCCGAATGCTCCCCTCCGGTGAACTGACTCCCGTCGAGGGTCTCCGCCGAACCTTAACGACCGAACCCCGCGATGAAAAAAAAAACGGTTCCGGGCGAAACGACCCGTCCGTCGAGAGCGGCACGACTCACCCGAGAGCGCGCTACTGGAAGCGGAATCGCGCCCGGACCTCGTCAGGGAGTTGGTGGACGGGACCCGCCGGGCCACGGTGAGCGTGATGACCCCCGGGGTCGGCCCCTCCTGGTGCATCGCCTTCCTCAGCGTCTCCATCGCGTCCCCGTTGGACTTCGCCAGCAGCGACACCCCGTTCACGTGCAGCAGCTGGTCGTTGGAGCGCAGCCTCCCGTCCTTGGACGCCGCCCCGCCGTGGATCACGCTCTTGACGAAGATCCCCAGGTCCACGATCCCCGTCGGCCCGTCCGTCGTCTTCCCCTTCACGCTCACCCCCAGCCCCGCCCTCTCCGAGTCGTGCACGGGGATGTCCAGCGTGAGGATCTCCTTGTGCTTCCACGGGATCGTCACCACGTCCTCCTCCGCCTTCTCCGCCGGCTACGAAAGCCACCGCTCGTCTCACTCGCCCCCGCCTCGAACCGCCCCGACTCACAACGACTCACGATCTCTCTCGGGAGCTTCGGCGACAGGTCGTAGTCCGACTCCACCTTCTCCTGCCTGGACACGGTGAGATCCACCCGAGACCCCGGTGGGATGCTCCTCAGGACCTCCACCGCCTCCGACTGGGACTTCCCCGTCATCTCGATCCCGTTCACCTCCAGCAGCCGATCCCCCGTCTTCAAGCGTCCGTCCTCGATCGCCCCACCCTGTCGTAAGAGACTCCCACCTTCATCTCGCCGCCCCTCCCGCGAGGGCGGGGACCGCGACGCTTCGTCGATCCTCACCTTCGAGAGGATGTTCTTGACGTATATCGGGGCCAGCCCGCCGGCGGGGTTGTCTCGGGTCGTGACGCTGAAGCCCAGCCCGTGCGGTCCCTTCACCAGGTCGATGTGAAGGATCCTCCCTGCAGTCGACAAAATGACGATTAAATAAGGAATGACATCCCCTGAAAAAAAAAAAAAAAAGAAATAAAAAAAAAAAAAAAAAAAACGAAGAGACGCGAGACGACGTTTGGGCCGATTCGAGGCCGCAGACCGACCTAGTTTCCGGGTGTTGGCATTGAGTAGCACGTTGGACGTGCGGGACGGCAGGGAACTCGGGGGGATCTTCTTGGTCGGCGTCACCGTGGCGATCTTGGCCCCACCACCGACGGCTGAAACCATCATCGTCGCTCGAATCGACTTCACCGACGGAGACGGAACCGGAATCGAGAAATGCTCAAATGAATGCTCACAGCGTTCGTGCCCGTCGACCAGAGCCCCGACCGGCGACGCGTCGGCGAATCTCCTCTTCACCTTCAACTCGATCTCGGGAGTGCTCATCGCCTCCCGAAACACCTCTTGCGCCCTGGACCCACCGAGCGACCGTGAGCGACCACCGACGACCTCGCGCAACCCCCCCACGAAATGAGACCGAAACGAGGCCGAGACGATGCATGAACGAGGCTCGTGTCGCCGACGCAGGCGAGATTCCCCGCGCGACCCCGACTGGATCGAGGCGGAGGAGACCCTGACGGTGGTGTTGCGGAACGAGGGGTCGAGCCGGGGGGATCCCCTGGGGATCCACGTCGTCCCGGACGCGTCCCCGTCCGCGAGGGAGAAGGGGCTGCTGATCCAGCGGATCGAGCCGGGGGGGCGGGTGGCCCAGGACGGGAGGCTCAGGGTGCACGACCGGATCGTGCACATCAACTCGCAGTCGCTGCATCATCTCAGCTTTCAGAGGTAGGTGGGGGTGTGTGGGGGTGTGTGGGGGGGTTGCGCGAGGTCGTCGGTGGTCGCTCACGGTCGCTCGGTGGGTCCAGGGCGCAAGAGGTGTTTCGGGAGGCGATGAGCACTCCCGAGATCGAGTTGAAGGTGAAGAGGAGATTCGCCGACGCGTCGCCGGTCGGGGCTCTGGTCGACGGGCACGAACGCTGTGAGCATTCATTTGAGCATTTCTCGATTCCGGTTCCGTCTCCGTCGGTGAAGTCGATTCGAGCGACGATGATGGTTTCAGCCGTCGGTGGTGGGGCCAAGATCGCCACGGTGACGCCGACCAAGAAGATCCCCCCGAGTTCCCTGCCGTCCCGCACGTCCAACGTGCTACTCAATGCCAACACCCGGAAACTAGGTCGGTCTGCGGCCTCGAATCGGCCCNCCCCCCCGGTCCCCCCAAACACCTGCCCCCACTCACGTGTCCGGATGGCGATTCCCCGTCGTCGTCGTCGATGACGGGCGCCGCCGACCACCGCTTGGCGTGACCCGGCTCGTCCCGTCGAGCCGGCGCGGGGCACGGCTCGGGCGGCGAGAGCAGGTCCAGCGCCGGCTCGCTCCCGCGCCTCACCTGCAGATGCACGCCTTCCTTCGTCGGGCTCCCACCCGTGATCTCGATGTCCTTCCGATCGAACGGCTGGAATCGATGCTCCACGCCCTGGCCCCAAACGAGAGCGGTTTCAACCGGAGGCTTTCATCCACCGACACTTTTTTTTTCTCGTTAAATCATTTTCACGGGCGATGCAATCTTTCCGGCACGTTTTCCCACAGTCATTTCCGCAGCCTCCTCATTATCTGCCTCTTTATCGTGACCGATGGCGTTTTCGAGAGGCTCAAGGTCGCCCGGAAAGTACCGGGCAGGGAGAGGAACCACGCATGGCTGATGCGGGGGGCCGTCGACCCACCCGAGAGACCCCGCCGACCCACCTGGAAGATCTCCGGCGAGGTGGAGGCGGAGGTCCCGTCCCCCGCGGCGTGCAGCGACGGCGCCCCTCCGCCGTCCCCGCCTTCCTCGTCGAACACGGCGCGGATCTCCTCGCGGTCATCCGTCACGTCTCGCAGGCGGTCGTCCGGGTCGAGGATCCCCCCGGCTCCCTCCGAGTGCAGGCTGTGCACCAGTACCCACGAGTCCAGGGGCTGCGGAACGAGAATCGTACAGATACGTGAACGAGGCGAACGAAACGAAGAGACGCGAGTGATTAATCGACGCGAGTCCCGCTCGGAGACGTCGAAGGGTGGGACGGGAGAAAACCGAGAAAAATCCGCGAAAACCACGGCTGGATTCGCTCGAACGAGGGAATCCTCTCACCGTTTCGGTTTTTCGATCCCCTCATTCGGGTCACGGGACCCACGGCAACGCCTCGTTCCATCCGAGATAAGGCACGCGAACGCGAGCCCGATCTCATTGTCCCATTCACGGCGGATCGCGGAAGTCCGGCGGATTCCGAGAAGGGCCTGGAAGAAACGCGATCGCCGCTTTCTCCCTTTCGGGAAAGGCCGGGGGGACCGACGGTTTGGGAACTTTTCCAAGGCGAAGCGAGAGAGAATGCGGACGGACTCGCTGGAGGGGATGCTCGGCTCCGCAACCCAGGCATGCCCCTGGCCCATCCCCCATACATTCCTGCCGAGCCCGCACCCACGATCCGGATGAAAAAGCGAAAAACGCGATAACGCGACTATCGACACCGACGACGACACGCCCTCCCCGAAGGCCCCGCAACCCATCCGAACGCTCTCCACCGACCCGCTAATAATAATAAATAATTGAAAAAAAGTCGGGGAAGGCACCTTATCCTTCGCCCTCGCCCCCAGCGTGCGATGCAACCGCTGCACATGGTACGTCTGCGACCTCCCCATGAGCCTCCCCAGCGTCTCCCCCACCACCGTCGCCCTCCCCTTCTCCACCAGCTCCATCAACATGACACCTCCACCTCCGCCTTATCGGCCTCGCATTCCTCGCTCTCCCACGTGACACCGACGGAGAAGAAACCACACGCACGGACGGAGGATCGACCGAGGTCCGAATGCCGTCGAGCCTCTCTCTCTCTCTCTCTCTCTCGCTCGCTCTCGCGTGTGCGGAGATACGAAGGCTGTACACGCGGTCATGCGCAGTCCCTCTCTCGCTCTCACGCACGGGAGCCATTAACGAGCTCGGTCTAAATCGAGCAGGTCAGGCTGTCCATTTTCCGAGCGAGACCGATCGAGAGGGACTTCGAGCATAACGTCGAAAATGCCCTCGCGAAGTGGGTCGTTCGTCATTCACGACTCCTCGAGATGCATGCTTTTTCTCGGAAGTTCGCGCGGAACGCGACCCGAACGAACCCCGTCATCGCCTCGACGTGTCGACTTTTTTTTTTCTCCCTCTCTCGGTACCCTCTCGTTTGCGTGCAGGTGCGGACGACACCGCGGCAACGGCAAACACGCCCGAGGGCAGGTGAGACCCCCAGACACCTGCCGATCGAACCGACGGTCACCCGGGAAAGGGAATGGAATGCCTCCGCGTTTCCACATCCGCACCGGGGGACGAGTCATAAATAAAAGCAGAGTGCGCAACGTCTCCCCGGAGGAAAAGGTGACGGGTCGGCGAAGAAGGATAAGGATGAATAATTCAGGAGGGACGGTGACGGACCGTGATGGAAACGCATTAGAGTCGGGGGTCCCTCGTCGGAGATGGGAGCATCATCGGCGGATATTCCATCCCATCGTCGGCCCCTTCCATGCATGGTTCGCCATCCGTATCCGCAAAAGCGTCGCATGATGCTCCTTCCCTGCCATCTCGGGAGGCGAATCGGAACCAGGGTATCCGTCCCGATCCGACCGATGGCGATGGCTGGGGCGAACTCGTGATTCCACGACCTGGCTTCGGAGTCCATCGTATATGTATTTTTCATCTTCTTACGTCGCTCATCCGTGCCGGACGTCCGATCGACGAGGTCCGTCATGAACCTTGCCGACGGGCCTCCTTTCGTCGTTCCGGCCGGTCCGTCGCGATGAATAACGGACACGTGACGCTCTCGGCAGGGATTTACGGCATGCCATAGGGATTCGTGAATCATGCCAGGTGCATGCGACGGATCGACTCCGGTTCATCGGCAGCACAACTGCTCTCGAGCCTTGGCATTTCCGCGCTCATTGTGACCGATGGCTCCATCGTTCCAGATGGCGTCATAACAAAACCTGCTGCACCACTTTTTTTTTCCAACGGGGAACGCAGAGTGCCCCCACGAAGCGATGAATGAAAAAAAAAAAAACATTTATAAGTTGGAGCCAGACGACTCCGTGCCTTCCTCCTTCCACGCTCGCGATGCATCCGACGCAATAGAACCGGCGGACGAAGAACGGGTCCCCCGACGTCACCTCACGCTACGCCGACTCCGAATCGAACACGCACCTGTGACCTCCGGGCCGGAGGACCGCGGGGGGTCGCATTCGATCGACGCCGCCGAGGCGAACGACCGTTCGACACTCACGTGTTCCACGTAGATCCGAATGGTGCACATGAGGAAGAGGGCCGAGACGACACCGGACGAGACCAGACCCGGACCGGATCCGATTCCAGACTGGGGGAAGCCGGCTGCCCTTCTCCTCCCCTCGCACGCTCAGACGGCAGGTGAATAACGAAAAGTTCGGGAAGACGGAGAATGGGGGAAGACGGGGGAAGAAGGAAGGAAGCGCATCGGAGCGTGGCCGCTCCGTCGGGCCTACTACCGTACTGGCACACGAGGGGCCTCGGATCCGTCCGTTCGCCCTCATCCTCGTTCCTACCCTTTCTTTCGCCGCGGCATCACCGGTCCGGTCCAGAAGTGGAAAACGCATTCTCTCTATCTCTCTCGTGGAACAGTTCCAACCGTTCCGTCGAGGAATAAAAAAAAAAAAAAAAAAG